GTGCATACCTGTTAGTAATCTGCTTTCAGCTATTGGAAAGAAATTGAAAATTTTGTTTGAAGAAAAAATTTGTTTTTCGAAATTTGGAAATAGTTAAATACGAATTTAGAAATTGATAGAAGTGAAGTTACTTACTCGCCAGGTTCAGGTTAACAAGGAAATTTGTCCATAAAAATATCTCTGACCCAGTTTTAAACTATCGACATCATGAAGATGACATGCATTCAAATATGCCTCCATTAGTCCAGTACGTTCAATGACAATTAAACCAAGGTCCGTCACTCATCAAGTTCACTTCAACATGACATGTCGCAGCGACAATACAATGGCTGCTTAACAAAATGTAATATGTATATTTTACCCCCTTTTGGGAAACACATTTTAATATGGGTACAACCATATTTTACCATAATGTCGATAGTTTCAAACTGGACCAGATATATTTTTATGGACAAATTTCCTTGTTGACCTGACGAGTAAGTAACCTCACTTTTATCAATTTCTAAATTCGTATTTAACCCATTATATCCCATTGTTCCGATAGTGGAACGTGCGATTTTTACCCCCTCCACTGGTTTCACGTCATCCAGATGTCTGTTCCATCGTTCTGATGTTTATATTAGACACTACTGCAAGGAATAATCACCATTTGTAGTACATACGAAAACCCTGTGCGGCATATTTCGCTTGTGTTCCGTAAAAGTGAGCAGCACCTGAATGGCGTACAATAAGTAAATGAACTATTGTTCTCATATTGGTTTTATGTTGTGTCCAGTGGTATTGATTTACCATTTGTTATATTGTGAACAAATCTCACTGCGATGGACATAGATATATTCAGTATAATGTCAATTACATGGTGTTTTATGAAGTGTTCCAATTTTGGAACTTTGGGCAAGGATGGGTCCATGATTATTGTCTTCTTTTTTTAGACTTTATACAACAGAAGAGCTCATTCAACTTGTGGAGGATGAGGAATTTTGGGAAGGAGATATTTTTATAACACCTCCAGATGATGGTGCTGAGAGTGCCGAAGACAGTGGTGATGAAGAAATATGCAATGACATAAACAAGCTGAGTGGTCGTCAACTACAAGCACAAGCCGTAGCAAAGATTACAAATAAAGGAGAAACGTTCACTATTGGTGAAGATAGTGATAATGATAGTGAACAAGAATTAGAATTCGACGATACTGAGGTTGTAGAGAATATAAATGGTTCTAAGGAAAGTGATAACGACAGCGAAGATAATATTTCATTATCAGAACTGCAGAAAAGATTGCCAAAAACGTACACAAGAAATTGGCAGAACTCAGTAGACCTAACCTGTAACTTCCCCCCATTTGTTAGCCCTAGGGAAATGTCTCGGATTCCAGAAGACCCTGTGGAATGTTTCGAACTTTTTTTCGATGAAGCAGTTTTCAACTTTCTAACGGACATGACTAACTTATATGGAAAGAAAAAAGAACCAAGTTTCCATGTTGAAATCGAAGAAATACGCTGCTTCATAGCTATACTTCTTTTATCTGGATATTGTTCAGTTCCTCGCTGGAGAATGTGGTGGGAAATTGACACGGAGGCATGCAACGAAGCTGTTGTAAATGCAATGAGAAGAAATAGGTTTGAAACAATAAAGAGATATCTTCACTGCTCCGACAATGACAATTTACCAGAAGATGATAAATTTGGAAAAATGAGGCCTCTTATTGATATGCTGAATGAAAGGTTCATCGAACATTCAGAACTACTGGAGAAGTTGAGCATTGACGAAAGTATGGTGCCATATTTCGGAAGACATGGTGCTAAACAGTTCCTGAAAGGTAAACCAATAAGATATGGTTATAAAATGTGGTGCCTGTGTGAACCACTTGGTTATCTCATGAAATTTGAACCTTATCAAGGAAAACTGAAAAAAACTATCACAAGTGCCAACCCTGATACGGTTGCAGGATCTTCCCAAAATAGTGTGAAGAAGAGGAAAAGACAGCAGATGCCTAGGAAAAATGAATTAGGAGTTGGTGGAATGGTTGTAGTTGACCTATTGAAAGTTTTGCCAAAGGATGTACCATTCAAGATTTATGGTGATCGCTTTTTCTCATCACTGAAATTGATCAATCGCTTACAAGAACAAGGTATCGGATACACTGGTACGATAAAATATAATCGAATCGAGAAATGTTCTGCAATAGCAACATCACGACATGTAGAAAAGCAGCCCAGAGGATATTATGATTTTTGCACTGATGTGAGGAATAATGTCACCATTACAAGTTGGCACGACAATAGAATCGTATTGACTGTTAGTACATGCGATTCAACTGGCCCTGAAGGTCATGTAGACAGATGGATAGCTTCTGAAAAGAAGAAGGTTCCAGTTACTCGACCATTTGTTGTGTCTCAATATAATAGGTATATGGGAGGTGTAGATAGATTGGATCAGAATGTAGAAAATTACAGGATATCGATAAGATCAAAAAAGTGGTGGTGGTCTATATTTGCTTATTGTGTGGATGTTAGTATCCAGAATGCTTGGCAATTATACAGAAAAGTTAACGGCAAGAAAATGGATCAACTGAAGTTTCGACGTACAATCGTTCAGACTTACCTACAGAAATATGGAAAACCTGGTATTGGTGGAGGTCGTCCAGTTTCACATAAAGCTATTCCCTCTCGTGTGCCAAATCAAGTGAGATATGATCGAACGGAACATTATCTTGTTGCAGCAGAAAAGCAGAATAGATGTGCAGTTTGCAAGAAAAATACCACGAAATGCTGTAGGTAGTGTAGAGTTAACTGTCATGAACACTGTTTCGAATATTTTCACACAAAGTATTGATCAATATATTTTCTGACTGATCATTCAATGTATTAACGTTCAATACAATCATATATTTTTTATATAAAATATGTTCTTGATCAATATTTCATTTACTTCCCGATTATTTACCTGGAGATAATCGTGCCCAAGGTTCCATTATTGGAACACAACAAAAACATGCGAAAAAAAAAAAGAAAAAAAAAGTGGGAGTATCATGTCTTGGAAAACATCATTTCTACCCAAAATTTCATTGAAATTTGTTGAAATTCGAGATGAAGATAATTCGGGCAATAATGGGTTAACTATTTCCAAATTTCGATTTCATGATAATGTCTTTCTCAAAATCAAGAGTTCATCAACAAGTAACAAGTTACCAATTCAATTCAACCTTTTTTCAATAATAAAAATTATCCGATATTTTGCAATATGAATGAAATTCTCGAGTCTGCAGTCGGCACGCAGAAATATTTATCTGCGAGACTCTCGCACGAGACACGAGAAGTCTTGCACGAGACTCGAGACGAGACCAATGAAAGTCTCGTCTTGTCTTGTCCGAGTCTTGTTTCGAGTCTTGTCTCGAAAACGAGACGAGACCATGCGAGACTCTCGAAAACGAGACTCTCGCGGGCACCACTATTTTCTACACACGAAAGATAAAAGATAATCCTGGTCGAAAGCTCTGAAGTTGACCCTGTTTTAGAAAAATCATAAAAAATCAACTATTATGTTGAAAATCATGGTGAATAAAAGAAATTCTTACGAATTAAATAACATTTACATTTAAACTTTAGAACAAGTAACCAAACGTTAACTTCATGTTGCCAAATTAAGAAAAAAACAATAACAAATAATAATTATACAATGATTTTCGAAATAATTAGTGACGTATACTGTTATCCAAATCAATGATACTGGAAACAACAGTGGCTGCTGTCCAGGAATAGTGGTTGACTCTTCTCATGGCAGAAGACAGAAGTGTTTTGGCCGCCATTTGAAGGACAGTCGAAGCTATAAAAGTGCCTTATTGTGTGACGGTGAACCCGTCAATATATCCAAGAAATCATTGAACATTTCTTGTTATCACTTCGAGTGTTTTGATAAGTTTCAAATGGCCTGATTTTGAGTTGGCTCTTAGAGGTCTGAATACTTGTTATTTCTGAAATGTATGAATACATCATTTGAAAACTAGATTTCTTCTTATTACATTGTTCCTTATTTGAGAGATGATTAGAACAAACCTCAAAAGGAGAGAAGTTTGGGCATATTTTTCAGATGATAGACGTCGCTAGGACGTCCAAAACTAGTCAACAACCAGTTTCAAGTTATAATTGAACACCGCATTGACGTCCAAAAGACCTGAAAAGTGACGTCATTTAGCTGTGACGTCTGAAAGTTGATGTCGATGCTTACTTCACTTACGTCAGCCATTCGCCTGGTGGGTGACGCCACACTCACTCACTCTTTGACATCATTGGAACACCGTAGAAAGGTCGGCGTGGGCGACCTTTCACTTTTCTATCGATACTTCCGAGGGAAATGTTCTTCGGAAATCTCTGGTATCATCCCTTCACTAGCAATACCAGTCAGACGAACTAGACAAGCCCAGTCAGCACATCTTTTCGTTGTCAACCTCGCAAGATGTCGAACAGCACTTTTACAAAACTCCTTCATCCATAGAACGGCTAGGCTCTGGAATACATTGCCGGAGGAAATATTCCCAACAACATATAATCTCCAGAAGCTCAAAAAAAATTCCAATACCTACCTCCTGTCCCTATCCTCCCTAGGAACGCACGATGTTCTTTGAACATTATAGGGATTTCCTTTCGTGCGCTCCATGCGATAAAAAAAAGACGTCAGTTTGGATAGTATAAAAGACGTCTTTCGGCTGCATGTGATGCCGTCTATTAGACATCATATAGTTGCCATGTGCTACCTGGGTGATCGCGAATTGAAACGAATAGCTCAGTAATCTTTTGATAGTGGCAATAATACTTGCCAGATTAGTATTGGTTTATATAGTAATATCAGTGAGGGGGTTTGCTTAGCAATAGTCGCACGTACTTTTGATTATTTATTTATTTATTAGAAAGAAAGAGACAGACTGTTTTTTGATTAATCCATCTGAATCTCAAAGTATTTTTCTCACGAAGACAATAGGTCATAAATTAATGATAAACGTATTAAAATACTAATTTTATTAAAGAGCAAATGTAACAATCAAAATGGGTATTAATATCACAAACACCGCATACAGGGCGGTTCTCGGTTCGCATTCCGAGATAACGATAAACTCTTCATTGTGAAGACTATCGTTTCTATTTAGAGGAAGTTCCATGACTAGTTTTTCAGAGGAAAAGAAGTCCAGATTTAGCGCGCATTCGGAATCGTTGATGCAACGCGCCACAGGGTTGGATATGTCGTATACTGTTTTTTCTATGTTGAAATTGACTCGGATGTAGTTTGTCACCACTTCGTTTTCGCTATTGAAAACGAAGAAATAGTATCCATTTGTTGGTACCCTGAAAATAAACGCAATACAGTTTTTTTCGATATAAGCTATATATCCTAGGTCCTTACACGCTAGTGAATTTTTTCTTTTAGGCTCTCTGATAGGAAAATTCTTTGAACGCGCGCAGTGGCATTTTGGGGCAAATCATCTGATTTGTCCTTACTACAAGTATATCGAAATAATATTCATATTTTCATTTTATAGAAACGAGGAGAGAAAATCCCAAAAAATCTGGAATAATGAATCGCAAAAACAAATTTGAAAACAATATTTAATCTCCGCGAGACCAGACGAGACTTTTATTGCGAGACTCGAGACGAGACTTTCCACACTTTTGCGAGACAAGTCGAGATTTTTCGTTCCGTAAGCAACACTAGATATTTTTTTCTGATCTGCCTACCTGTATGTGATCGAGTTATCCACATAGCTTTCCTCTGCGCTTACATTCTGAAGACACTGAGAATGAGGCATCAGCGGCAAACTCAGAATGAGCCCAGCGCAGTTCAGCAAAGCTTCTTCAGAGCTGGAAAAGGACGACCAGAATTCACTGTTGCTCATGTCGTTCAACGTGGTCTCGTTGATAGTCCCTCTATGGTCGGCTATACCATCAACAACGAAGGCCTTAAATAAAATACAGGGTCTCTATAAATGGACGTATAGCATCATAGTGACAGTTGATTTGCCGCTGTCCACTTACGGAGATCGAACTATAACACCAAGGGCGTCATTTCAGTGAACACCAGAGAGGTGAATATTTGGTAGAAGTTAATATTGCTCAATGTGGAGTGAAATTTTTCAAAGAAAGGAAGGCATCTCCACAAATTTTAATGGTGTTGTTACACAATCAGAAGGAACATGTTACGGTCTTAAGAAAGACCGGTAAAAATTTGTTGGTGTTCAAGGTCAAATGAAAATTAAGTTTCCTCCACACTGACAACAACTCCATCACATTATTATACTTCTTATTATAAATGATTCAGTTACATGCTCTCAGTTCGTTGCAATTGATATACAATGATCTGAAAATAGGAACAATAAGAAAAGCAAGACAAAAGTATTTTGGGTATTGCCTGTAGGTTACCCAAGTAGGTGGAGGTTCTTGAAATTTTTTGCGAGCAACAACTATCCCTCATAACAGGAAATAAGTTAATCTTCAGTCTATTATTGTAGTTTTAACGTTTTAGGATAATTTGCTTCCTAATTCAACTATATTTTATGTATGATACCTATACTATTATACTGATGTATCTTATGTGGTTATAGGAAGGAACTTAGTGGATTGAATTTTGTTGTAGAAAATCAGGGTAGGGGGCAATCGCCTCCCCACTGCCCCCCTCTGAATGACGCCCATATACAGGGTGTCCCATTAGTCGAGGATCAAAAGAAGTGGGGTGGTAGGAGGGGTCATTTCAAATCAAACTAACCGTATATGTGGTTATCCAATTGTTGATGCTTCAAAAGTTGCCGCTGGCAGATTTAAAAACTACCCCACAAAATCATATGAAAAAGTTGTCTATTTAATACAGATTCCGAAATGGTATAACATATGGGGTTATTCAAAACAGCCTTTTTGTTATTAATTTTTTTGAATGGGTCGCATTTTTCAGAAAAATTGAATAACTTTTGAACCATCAAAAATTTGATAACCACATATACCGTTATAGTTTGATTACAAATAACCCCCCCCCCTACCACCTCACTTCTTTTGATCCATTACTTATGGGACACCCTGTATAGCATATTCAGTCGCTTCAATGCCTGTGAACAACAATATTTCAACGGCCCCTTCGATGCTACGATCATTTTTAGAAACCCTGTATTCTGTATATATTGATTCTTCTAAAGAATAGAAGTGAACTTCTGGAAATGAACAAAAATAAATACTTTTCCAACAAAAATGGTAGTACTCTGAACAGTAAACTTTATTGTGGCAAGTATATTTTCAACCCAAGAATATATAGACATCAATCTCTCTGATAACCCTTGGAGATTCAGCCTGGTTAGATAAATAAGATGTGAATAAAGTGCTTCAGATTCTTTAGAAATGTTTCGCAGGATATAACTTGGGCCACAAAAGTGTAAAAGAATATGAGAACTTATACACCAGCAATCTCAAGAATGATGAAGATTCCTCGGCTTAGGATCTGGAATAGGAAAGGTCGATGAACTCTCAAGAAGTGGGTCATCACTAAAAGTGCAGGAACAAAATAACAGCCTGAGACGCACTTGCAATACCTAATGTACCTAAAAAGAAACCCAGTGAGTTTATATACAAAAACAACATTGAAAAAGTCTAAGAAACAATATAGATGATATAGGTATTCCAAATTACAAGTTGATGGAAAGCACTGCCTCTGTGAAATGTGTTGATATGGAAATCTAATATTTCAATATCAACGGTACGAAATGAGCCTCAATACGTATTAACCAAGTGTCAAAACTGAGGCCAACATGTCCCTATGGTCTTCTGAGCTGGAATGAACCATAGTCAAAAATCGTATTCCTACTATGAGGGATCACCTTCGTAAATAAATATGGAAGTAAAACGGTACCTATTATCATGCAGGTGAGGATTTGGACCACAGAAAAATATCAAAACTTCAAAAGAATCTATCCAAGGAACTGGTGCAGGAATCCAGATTATATAGGTACTAGTGGTTTAGAGGTAGAATAAACAGAATCGGAAGGAATCACAAACGGCCGCCCTTTAAGAAGCAAGAACTTTGAACCACAGAAAAAATTATTCAATAAGATAAGATCACAGTATAGATGACAGTCAAGCAGGACTCTAGTTTACTGGAATGGGTTGAGTAGATAAACATGGGAGATATTATATTATTATTATTATTATTATTATTATATCAAAATAAGTCTACGATATCACAATCACCATTCATTGCAGCATATTATTTGACATCATAGTTACAGTTACTTCAGACCTTCAGATCTGAATTTCTCACCTCTTCTATCCCCATATCATTCTCCTTGTCATCCTGATTCCCGCCAAGAGCAGTGGCCAAGATCAAATCGCGCTTCCTCCGTCTAGCCTGATCCACATACTCGTCGAAATCGACTGCAGGCTTCGAATATGTCCTCGACTTCGTATCGAAGGCTCCCTCACTATCGCTATGGTTCTTCTTGAACTGCTCGTTCAATTTGTGCAACACCTCCGGACCCTGGTCTCCCAATCTCTTCAGCTTCCCCAAAATATCCGTCAGCACTTTCTCGGGCTCGGTGGCTTCTCGAGGTTTCTCGATGTGCATGTTTTCCTCTTCTTCCTTGGCTACCGTGGAGTTGCGGTGAGTGTGCTCCGCGTTCAGGGGTTTGCTCTGCTTGTACTTATGGCGCAGCGCCTTAATCCAGTTAAAATTGTATTTTTGCCAGGAAACTTATTAGACTGAGAGCCAGCGATCGGCAGACACGGTATAGGTTCATTCGTGTTTCGATTTCAGAACTGTTCAAGAATTGTTTTCGAACTGCGTAGTCGTTTCGAATCCTAGGACTGTTTCAGAACGGTTGACAAATTATGAAAACCCGAACGCGGCAGAAGAGAACCTTTGAGAACATGACCTCTATTCAGAATTTGCGGAAAAAACATTTGTATCTTTATTCGAATAATATTCTGAAGCTTCGAACTCTCCTTTGAGTCTATTCAGAATATCTCTGGAAACCCTCTGTGGAGGAATGGTGAATATACAGTCTGTCCAAGATAAGGTTGAACAGCATGGGGATCTTGAAAACGGTAGGAGATACGAAGTCGGTTAAATGGGGAAAAAGTTGCGCATTCGGAGGCTCATATCAAGAGCCTTCGAAAATTTCAAAAATTATTTTTAGTTTTTTAGTTATATCGAAAAAAGTGAATTTTTGGAATATCTATTTTATTTTTTTTCTCTGCTATTATTAGAGATACAGAAAAACTGAAAATACTTTTTCATAGCAACTTTTGATGACGTTTAACGTGGTTATACCGATTTTTTATGCGACGTTTCGTATACGTAGAACCATCATCAACTTTTGTTTTTTAAATACGGTCCTGATAATTTTTTCACAGATTCTGAAAGGTTCTTTTATTCTGAATTCAACCATGTATTATACAAGATGATTCGAATGTGTTTCGACCTATTTCTATCCATCATCATTGTTTTTTCGGACTTTCAAAAGAAAAGTGCCATCAGTTCCATTTATTTTTGATCATTTAGTGTCAAACATTGATGGATTAGTTATTAAATACTGAAATTTGATTGAAACATATTTCACTACATCGTTCAATGCAGCGCTTAAAATTGTTGATGAACTCTTACACGAATTACTTTAACAACTTAACTTTGACAATACCTTCAGAAACATTCATAACAAATGTTCAAAAATGATAACCATCATTTTCTGAACAAAGATATCCTCTTCTCACAGTTGCTTCTAAGATATTACTAAGCATTTCTGTGGTTATCCTATTGAATGCTTCGATGACACTGTCCCTTAGTTCTTCTTCATCATCAAAGCTATTTGCGTGTACAAAGTTTTTGATATATCCCCTAAAAAAAAAATCCAGCTGTGTCAAATCAGGTGACCGCGCCGGCCAAGGGACTGCAGAATGAGTACCAATCCAGTTTTCTGGATAAAAACGCACGAACTCCTCTGGAATTATGTACCGGAGCGCCATCTTGTTGAAACCAACAGTTCTGAACTTCCGCAACCGGAAAATCGTCCAGAGCTTCCTCAAGGTGATTCTCAAGCAAATTTCTATAACGTTAGGAAGTCTGTGTTTCATGGTGAATAAAAGGACCAATAATTCGTGTACCAAATATTGCAACCCACATATTAAAGCCGATACGGTGTTGGTGCCTCGCTGTAATGTATAAATGTTCATTTTCTCGTGCTCGTGAACAATAATGTGTATTTTTTCTATCGAAGATACCATGATTAGTGACCATGCTTTCATCAGTCCAGATGATTGTTTGCGGGAAATCTGCAAAATTTTGACATTTCCTGGTATACCACTCACAGAGAATGTCCTGCGCCTTTCGTTATCGCCTGGTTTTAGCGCTTGACATATTTTGAATTTGTATGGATGGAATTTTTGTTTCCGCAAAATGAAATGTGTTGTTGATTGAAACCAGTTGATGAGGTATTAGTGTGTTGACTAATTTTCCTTCAAAATAAGTGGAACTGATGGCATTTTTCCTTTGGAATTTCGAAAAAACATTGATGATGGTTGAAAATAGGTCGAAACACACATAAACCACCTTGTATGATACATGGTTGAATTCAGAATAAAAAAACCTTTCAGAATCTGTGAAAAAATTATCAGGACCGTATTTAAAAAACAAAAGTTGATGATGATTCTACGAATACGAAACGTCGCATAGAAAAATTGGTATCACCACGTTAAACGTCATCGAAAGTTGCTATGAAAAAGTATTTTCAGTTTTTCTGTATCTCTAATGATAACGGAGAAAAAAAATAGAATAGATATTCCAAAAATTCACTTTTTTCGATATAACTAAAAAACTGAAAATAATTTTGAAAATTTTCGAAGGCTCTTGATATGAGCCTCCGAATGCGCAACTTTTTTCCCATTTAACCGACTTCGTATCTTCTACCGTTTTCGAGATCTCCATGCTGTTCAACCTTATCTTGGACAGACTATACCATCATAGCATTCGTAGCTAGATTTTCAATATGTTTTGTCCCTTGTACCTACATGAATTTCGACACCCACCTGAAATGATCAATGAATTGTGTATCCGCGAATATAATGGCAAAGTCTCCCCAACATAATCCTACATTTTTCGGTTTATCTAACAAAAGTTCGAGAATTATCAGATTAGGTAAAATATCTTCAGCAACTTCAGCAAGTAACTCCCTCACCACTGCTTCCTGAAGATGAAGATCTACTTACTATCAAATGGATGTACTTACTCCATAAAATTGAGAAAATATTGCAATGAACAGTAGAATAAACAATAAGACTATATCATTATGACGTTAGCTACAACAGACAGAATCGAAAACTAAATGAAATGTGCAGGCGCCAAAAATATTCCTAGAACGGTTCATGCTCGGGAGCAGGTATACTAGTTTCGGATAGTTTTAGGACCGTCCCAGGACGATCCTGGATAAAACCCAAACGCGTGAGTCAGTCCTAGAACAGTTCCAGTTCCAAAACCTGAACGCGACCGATTCTCTCACGCAAACTCCTGTCAGTTCTAGAACAGTAATAGTTTGAACCCGAATGAACCTGGTATGTTAGCAAATTCCATATTGATGCTAAGCATATACTTTTATCTACAAGCGTGCGGAAAAGTTACTTTTCCGAATGATTTTTCGTTTTGAAAGTCGTACTTTTCCGTACGATTTTACTTTTCGAAGGAAATACCAGGAGACACGTGGTGATAACTGTTATCACCAGAACGTACCCATAGCAACAGACGCTATAAACTGACTGTAGTGGCAGTCAACAAATAAGCATTTCAGACCAATCTACCTTCCTCCATTCACTACACTAGTAATTCTCAGCAACAAACAAACACTAACCAATACAATTCAAATAAGAAACGACGTTCTTCAAGATGTTGAAATTGTAACATGTATGAACATTATTCACAACATTGTATGACACTGATTCGCCCTACTTCCCCATACGCCTTCATTAGTACGACAGAGAAAGCATTATATCGTCTGACCGCATGATGGAACCGACCTATGTGTCTGCTTCTACAAATGTATATGTATAATAACAATATGATAGCATTTGAATTTATATTCCAGCTTCGCTGAAATAACCTGAATGTTTATAAAATTTTCGAAGTTTTGAAATTCTATGAATTGGAACCGGAATAGGCTAGTGTTTGCCATTGAACCTTTTGATAGAGAAAACTATCAACTACAAGATATCAAAAGAGCAGACATGCTGCAATCAGGTTTTTAATAAAATTTTTGACGTTTTTCGACCTCTGTATCACCTACGGCAGGTGAAATAGTATAACTAGCATCAATATGAAGATTGCTAACATACTGTAAGTCTGCCGATCGCTGGCTCTTAGACAATATGGGGTAGTTTCAAATACAGGCAATTTGTGCTCAAAAGGGCCCCTAGCGCGGGAAAATTGTGGGGTATATAGTAAATAGTTTCGATTTCTTTCATGCAACATGTCTTTTGGGGTGCTGAATCCGAATCTGAACTATTCGTAAAGAAGCTCTATTCGAAATGAAAGTAAATAATATTTCCTAGAAACTGCATTATTTGGTTTTTTCCTCGATGAACCCTTCGAGCTCAGGCGCTAGTTGAAAATTGGCATATTTCTGCTATCTCCGCAAAGACCCATTTTTCCCGCTGCATAACTCCTAATTGATTATAAAAGTCCTTCATTCAATGAATTATTTTTATACCTTTTCAACTTCAAATTGTCCCAATTTGAATATGTTTATTTCCATTTTGAAAAAGAGGTGACGATGAATTGGATGAGGAGTTCCTATATCCTCAGAGCCCTCAAGAGCAAGAACTGGACCAGGAAAAAATGGGCTTATATCACAAAAAAAATTTATTTCATAATTCGATAGAACTGTGAGCTCCCTACGTTTTATAAAAAATTATTGAAATCCCCGATTTTTCGGACCTCTGAAAACGAGGCGATGATGTGACGTCAAAACCCTAATACTGAAACAAGACTATTCCAGACAGAGATGAATGATACATGATTTCTGACAGAGTGAATTAGCGCGAGATCACAGCTGAAAGAATTAATATATCAGTTGCCTCAGTCTCCGTCGGGCGTTTGGTATTTTCTTTTAACTATAGCGAGATGAGGTTTCTACTTCATGAGAGGGTCCGTTTTCAGAAGGTACTATTATTTATGTCCAAAAATAAAACATTCCAGCTTATTTTTCGATCGAATTATGTCGTCAATCATTATTTATGTATGAAAGGATCATTATAAACATGGTTTGAGTTAAAAGTTCTACTAAGGTGTACACGCCCATTCGTGAACCTGGACCTTCTAAGATGTTTGAACAAAATTTAAATGTAATTAATGTGAAAAAATACAAAATAATTTAATACCTACTTCCTTTCTTTACTTTTTCTTGTAACCATTATGTTTGTGTCTTTGTTTCTCATTAAATGGCACCTTTTTTTACCAACTTTGAAAAGCTGTATCTCGTAAACTGTTAGGTCCACAGTGATCATATTTAGCTCAGTAATCATCAGGAAATTTTATGTAGTTTGAAAACGAATCGAGTTGTCTTTGTTAAAAAAGTACTCCTTCTGGATCAAAAATGGCGAAATCTGAAAAAAGTGCAAACTTTTAGCCATTTAAACGTTATATGGCGGTGATCCGGAAGGTCGCCGAGGTCAAAAAATTGGATTTGGCATCTCTGTACTATCCGAAACAATATAATAAAAATAAACCTACTACCCCAAACCATGTAAGGTGGACCCCTTTTTGATGACAAGGTTACTGGATTATATTAGAGCTCCTGCGAGAATTCTGAACTATGTGAACCAGTTTTCCAATGGTATTCGAAACCCGACACTAGTTTTACCAGTGGAATACAAAATATGCACTCAGAGCGAGCCAGTTTTACTAATGGAATTCAAAATTAATGTTAGTTGTGATTGAAACACTGAACTTTCTTCGATGGTCTGAGGGGGTTAATACTCCCATTACCCCCCCTTGTACACGTGTCTGTTTTGAGCACAAATTCCCTGTATTACCTCCAAGATGGGCTTCATCGCCTTGGGATCGGTCTCTGCGTCATCAGCCACGCCGTTGTGCGCGTCCTGACCCAAACTCCTGCTGTTATTCAGATGCACCGGGCTGTGGAATTGCACCTCGGGCCTGTGCCATTTCATCAGGTCGGGGTCGTTTGCCTGCTGTTGGGGCTGCGAGGAGTTGGTCTCAGGATCGCCGGCCTTCTCGCGAGCCGCTTCCATCAGTTCTTCCAGTTCTTCTGAGGAGTCGTCGCCGATGTAGGCGCATTCGTGGAGGTGCTTGTGGCCGCGGATCAGGATGAGGGAGGCTCCTGGCCATCTGGAAAGGAAAGTCCAACGTGTTTTCTCAGAGCTAGGGCATTGAAACTAGGGGAGACTCGTGTAGCTGGAAGATAATTTGCTTATTCATTTATATTTCTATTGAAAATATGACTTTCAGCCAGGAAAAGTTCGAGTTTGTGGAAGTAGTTAACAATTTTCGCGGCCGCTACGATCATTTCGTCAAGTGGAGATGCTTGTGGCCACAGATCAGGATGAGGGAGGCTCCTGGCTACCTGGAAAAGAAAGTTCAACGTGTTTTCTGATAGCTAGAATATCGAAACTAGGAGAGACCCATGTAGCTGAGAGAATATTTGCTCAATCATTCATATCCTTATCGGAAATATGAATTCAAGTAGTTAACAATATTCTTTCCGCGAGCCGCTTCGATCAGTTCGTTGAGTGGAGTTGCTTGTGGCCGCGGATCAGGATGAGGAAGTCTCCTAGTCATCTGGAAAGGAAAATACAACGTGTTTTCTGAGAACTAGGGCATTGAAACTAAGGAAGACCTATGTAGCTATAAGATAATTTGCTTATTCATTTATATTTTCATTGAAAATATGACTTGTAGCCAAGAATAGTTCCAGTTTGTGGAAGTAGTTAACAAATGTCGCGGCCGCTACGATCATTTCGTCGAGTGGAGATGCTTGTGGCCACAGATCAGGATGAGAGAAGCTCCTGGTCATCTGGAAATGAAAGTCCAATGTGTTTTCTGAGAGCTAGAATATCGAAACTAGGGGAGACCCGTGTAGCTGAAAGAATATTTGCTCAGTCATTCATATCTTTATTGGAAATATCAGATCTAGCCAGACAGAGTTCTAGTTTGTGGAAATAGTTAACAATGCCCTTTTCACGAGCCGTTTCGATCAGTTCTTCCAGTTTTTCTGAGATGTAGTCGCCAACGTAGGCGTATTCGTGGAGGTGCTTGTGGCCGCGGAACAGGATGAGGGAGGCTCCTGGCCATCTGGAAAGGAAGGTCCAACATGTTTTCTCAGAGCTAGTGCATCGAAACTAAGGGTGACCGATGGCCATAGCTTGAGAGCATATTGCTTGAACAATTTCAAGTCGAAAGTGCTATATACACACTTTTGTCTCGAATTCAATAGTTAGGGACTTATAAGCAATCAAATAACAATACTTTGCTCACCAGTAGATTACAAGAGGTGGTCCAGTTCTTTGACGACCAAGGTCACCACTATTATCTACAGGGACCCATAAAAGGTTTAGTGTTTTCAAATGAACTACAAACCAAAGATGAGCTAATTCAAATATTATGACTTCGGAAAGGAACGTTTTCAAAATGAGACAAGCAAGAATGTGCGGGGGGATGATATTTTGAACAAAACTTTATTGATTAAATTTGTGTAAGTAATCAAAAAATGTCTAATTAATAAAATATTACATCACTTTATTCAACATTCTCTTCGCTTCAGTACACACTCTGTCAATTTTCACATCATTACTGCTGAACTATAGAATTTTTGACAAAAGTGTATGAGGCACTTTCGACTTGAAATTGTTCAAGGAATATGCCCTTCAGCTATGGGAATCGAGTATCACCAGACACTCTGTATATTCATTGAAAATATACCTTCTAGTCAGAAAAAATTCTAGATCAAGGAAGAAGTTAACAATAGTAACAATTGAATAACAACAAATTCATAAACATTAATTGATTCATCTGAACTGCTCAGCACTCTTATCGTGAAATGGAATTTTTTTTATCAATTTCCGAAACGGTTTTGGAATTTTTAGAATTGTCATAAGTGATATCACGATGTTCTGAATATTCGAGATAATTCTGTCGCTTCATATTGTTCACGAAATTGTATTGCCGAGCATCTTAAAGGCAACACAATTGATTTAACATCAGTCAGACAGAATGATGAGAAGATATTCAGAACAGAGTGGTATTTTGCTAGACTATTTCACGTTCACGAAGCATAAGAAGCATTTATTATAAATGAGTAATTCATATTCTGACAAGTACAGCCATAATTATTTTATGCCAAACTGATAGACGTATTTGCTTCGCAATCCATTGTTACATCCAGACTTTGATTTGTTATCCATGATGGTTACATCGTTGAAAACATGACTGCTGTCAGACCAATCAGAATTGAAAGACAGCTCATGTTTTCGCGATAAGCACCCGCTGTCTCTGGCTTGTGATTGGTCAGATTATGTGATGAGTGAAATAGTCACACTCAGTACTGAAATATGAATATATATTTCTTAAATGTATAATTTGATGTTCTGATTTTTATTGAGTATGTGTTCTTGTTCTTCTAGTTCAAACGGTGGTCAAAAATCTTGAAATGATGTATCCTACCTTACACAAGTTGATACCGTTACATTGGTGCCTTTCAGCAGATAGAATCCCCAGTACTCTTTGGTGTCATCTTCCAAATACAATTCTCTCGTCATGGACAATTGTTTGGTTTCCGTTGCTAATTTTGGTACGCTGGACAACAAGAAAGCGTTGAATGTTGCGTTCACCTTCACCTTTTGTCTCTGAAAAGTTGAATTGAATAAACGAACCCTTTTATATAGATGTTCATCAACTGTGAATATGTAATAACTGACAGAAGCAAAAGGGAAAATATGTTTAAATGAACTTCGAAAAATCAAAACCAATCAATTCTTCATCTTGATTTTCTGACACGCCCGGAATATGTTATTTTTCTTATTAGGTAGCTCATAGCCCAGCATAGCGAGGCTAGGAATTCATTTAGAATATTCAGTATTTTTTCTCCATATGGTAAGAAACCAATTTTTTCTACAAACGTCAAAAAAGGACAAAGGGTTCGCGCATTGATAACAAATTGCCAAGGGACACTTTTTTTCAGTTTTCTACTTTACCATGATACCTTCCAGAAAACAATGCGCGAAGAAAAATAGTTATGTATAATACCTATATGAGATATTTATATTTCAAGTTTATGGTCCTCAATCGAGCGATCATCCACGAAATCATTTATTTCTGAATGTTCAACAATAACTTTGTTTTATCTCTTGGAGCGCACGAAAGGAAATTCCTTTTATGTTCGTGGAACATCGTGCGTACCTAGGGACGATAGGGGGAGGCTTTTCGAGCCAGTCAAACACTATTTTTTATATCAAGCTAATCATATTTTCACTATAAATTTTGACGTTAAAAAAAATGTTGTTTGCAACTCGAGCGCGAAATACTTTGGTCATCTTTTTTTTTTAACTCGGCTACGCCTCCTTAAACAAATTAGATCTTGATCACCAAAGTAGCATTTCGCGCTCTAGATACAAAAATAACTATTGTGTAATGTTTGTATCAAAAAGTCTATCATTTTGTGTTCACCTTATGTCAGTGTCAATTTTGATTACCAATTTTATTCAAATTACTTGGAACGTTGCACAGCAACAATCTCTTCCTGCCTAGACAGAGAAAAGTACACATTTCCTGACTGTTAAGTCAGAGAAACGCATCTTTCTAGGTGCCTTGGAGAAAAAATATGTTTTTGGACTCGTAGACTAACAGGCAGTGGCGTAGCCAGAAATATATTTCAGGGGGCCCATACCTGATTTTGTAAGGAAAAATCGAAAGATCAATAAATGAGCAAATCTAGGCTCATTTATTATAGGAAAACAAATTGAAAAGGACAAAAAACTTAAACAAAATTCTAATAAAATAGCAGATATAATATTATAATCATATAAATTTCGGTCTGTACAACTAAAGTGCAAATCGTTGGTTGGTTTTTCTTTAATTTCGATTTGGATATCACGATGAATACTCATTAGGGCTAAATTTAATGATGTTGTAAGCTCGTCAGTTGAATGGTTCCTCAAATAAGTTTTCAGTCTCTCCAAATCAAAGTTGAAAAGCTTCTTAACGCTGCAGCTATAGTCCTTGGAAGAACGGACGGAACTTGCAGTTACACGTGAATATTAGGGGAAAAAACGGAATTGCACAAAAGAAAAGTATCCAGACCAGATCCCAGTACATCAGATTGATTTTGTCATCACTTTCCCTGTCTAAATGAACCGCAATATCTTGCTATTCTCTCCTCTTCATAAAACTGAAAAGCAGGTTTAATAAAGGCAAACAGAGACGATTTAGTGTACTTTGGTAGAACATATGTTGCAAATAAGAAGAAAGCACCGTCATATTTTCGGTAAATCTTCCATTTAGAGAACATATAAAATCTTCCAAATACGGTACAAAACTTTCGGGGGGGGGGGCTGCCACTCCTGGCTACGCCACTGCTTACACTTACGGCTCGTCCTGGAATATTGTCCAAACTCCTCCAAAAAAATAGTATCTTCCGAGCTACTTATGTAATTACAATTTTTGTTATTATTTTTCTGTAAATATTTGGATTTCGTACCTGACACCAAGTGGTTGAAATTCGGCTGTCCAAAAGCCGCATATCAGACATGGCCAACGGATAGAGCTGAGCACCATATACGCGGTAACGCAGATAAAGCGGCACGCTCAATAACAAACATGGAAAAAATATGCCCAGAATACAAAGCCGAGCTACTTTCGAAGGTACTTTGAAGGGTAATGTCTTGGCACTTTTTCCACTCCTGTTGGATTTTTGTAGTGGAAATTCTGAAAAAGCGAGACACATTTGAATAAAGCGGGCAAGGGGGTAACGGCCAGCCTCATGATTTTTTATATTTTTGAAGCGATTTTCACGATTTTTTCTTTAAATGTAAATAAGGTGTATTCTGGAGCTAGGCGACGTCCTCTTCTTTTGTAAACCAAGAGGCATACTATACACATTTGAAATATTTTTGATGTAGTGCAGTGTTGCCGCTTCTACTAGAAAGTGATAGCGATATTGATATTTAAAATATAAACACCCTGTATTTCATCGCATTTTTAGATTCTCCCTGAAGAGCTGATTTTATCGATGTATCACACGTGTATCACAAGTCCCGAATTGCAAATGGAAATATGTTTTCAGTTTGATTACGCATACTTGTTCTGAACGTGGTTACTTTGAGACTTTGCTTTGTTAACAAAAAATCTAAGATGCAGTGATAATTATTTCAAGATAATAATAAATTCATCATACAGTTACTGCCCTGTGTTTACTGAGATGTAAACAAACATTCAATAATGTACTTTCCATTAGTTACTTGAATATGCGCAAGAGAGCATATCATTTCGCCTATAGCACACTGAGTTGTTGCTTAGAAAGTATTCCATATCACCATAGCAATGCGAAAGTGAAAATGAACAGTGCGGCAATATTCCCGCACTCTCACGTGATTTTTGCTTGGTCTATCTTGATCGTGATCTTGATGTATGTACATTTATTTCTCCCTATTATCCCTAGGTATAGGCACGATAAGTTGAATAAGAAGGCGAACCATAATATTCAGTATCACCCAATATATGCCCAATATACTTTTTTAAGACAAAAATGTTTATTTTTCTGTGACGGGAAAAAATGTTGGCATTTCATCTCTGTTGACAGGTTATAAAATGCCACTTTTCATAAATTACTTTTTTCCCTTGGGAAAAAAGTGAGTACTTTTTATCACATATACAGCGTGTCTCACTTTGAACGGCTCCTCTCTATATCTCAGTTATTATTCATGCGATTCCAACCAAATTTGGTGTGGTATGAATAACCATCAATATGATCAGTTCTACAGAGATGCACATTATTGTTATTTTCTCATTTAATCATATTAGGCATTTTTTTACAGGAAATCTAACCTCATATTATTGTTCCTGATGCTTTCGAACCTCCATATGCAAAAAATCACCTAATTCCGAATTAACAGGATTGCCTTAATTTTTTTCATTTTCAGTCTCGAATAAATAGTGACTTCGAATCAACTACTAATTTTGGAACATTCAATAGCTCCGGTAGGTGGAAATTCATGATTTGGAAGGAAAAACGAGTTCGCAAAAATTAGATGTGCCTGTTTTTCTGAAACCCTTCATAGGCATCTTATGAAAATCCACATATGTCGGTTTGAAACCATGAAGTAAAATATTATGAGGTCAGTTTTCCTGTGAAAAAATGCCTAATATGATTTAATAAAAATCTGCCCCCAATTCATTTCAATAAAAATGCACGGCACTGTCAAAAATGATGTTTGTATTTGAAGAACTGGTCATATTGATGATTATTCATACCGATACAAATTTGGTGAAGATCGCACGACTGATAGCTGAGATATAGAGGGGGGGCCGTTTGAAATGAGACACGTTGTATATACACTGTTGATGGCTTTTGTTGTGGTATAGTTCCGAAAAATGAGTCAATAATACCGTCTCCGAGAAAGAACTGCAGGTCCTTTTATCTTCCATACGACTTCGCGGTTACTAAACAACCACTAAATTCGCAATTTTTTGAAATCAAATCACAGAATTAGACTGACAGAAGTGACATCAGATATTTGATTACTTCAAAGGAATGATAAAAATGCCTACAACGCAGGTGTCCCTACTGTTATAGTTATTTATGTATTAAGGGAATTATGAGGGCCTTAATTACCGATGGCAAAGTTTGCGTCTTGAGGGCCTCTGGCCCGAGGGACAGCAATTGCCAGAGGTTATTGAGGCTCAGTAATTCCCGTGATACCTAGATAATTTTATTTCTGACTGATTTCATTCATTAGATACCTTCCCGATTGGAAGTTAGACATGTTTTTCCGTATAGTTTCAATGTCATCAGAACGTCAGATGATGATCTTGACTACCGCGAATAGGAGATTCCTTATTGCTACGTTATTGCGTGGTTGTTGCTATGCATTTCTTATTTAATTTTAGCTAGAGGGAATTATAGCATCTATAACATCCCAAGGGAGTTATGACCCTCATTATAGATATCGTAACTATGACGATATAAGCTTATAATGTCACTGTCAGAAATAAAAAACTTAAAATTTCACGTCGATAATTTTCAGATTTCAAAATAATGTAGTATCTTCTCAATATTGCTTCGTCCTTTCTTCTCACAGAAAAAAATAGTGTATTAATTATACACGGGAAAAATATTAGATTTCAGCTCACGGTTTTTTGTCTCCCTTCGCGTCGGGAGACAACACAACCTGGAGCTAAAATCTACCTACTACTTTTTGCCCTTGTATAATAAATAACTATTTTTTATTTCTTTTTGATGTTTTGTCTTCCGTTATCTAACCCGCGCACTTATTCATTTTATCGCTTCAAATTCGGAAACATCATCATGTATATAGATTTTAGATAAAGCAATAATGGTTCCATCTCAGTGATATGATAGATAATAAGGAATAAAGATTAGTTTGAGACAGACATAAACTCTTTGTACCTATTGCTTCTAGATTCAAAATTCATGGTGGTTATATATATTTATTAAGCTTGTGCAGAATATATCACTTTGATGAGCATCTAGACTGAAAAATTAACTTGCCACGTGCTTGATAAATAGAAAGTTATTATATAGATCGAAGATTTCTCAATACCTACCTAACGTGAGTATAATTGTGGGAATAATTAGATATTATGTATATGTGAGTACATTTTTTTTTCAAGTCAGCGACTCGCGTTTTGCAATTTTCGAAAATTACGTAGTATATCTCATGAATTGATAACCTCTTACCCAACATCATTATTTTGAAAACATGACAATTAAAATACAACTTCTATACTTACCTTCAAAGTCTAAATTAACGACCATTTCATGCAGCAACCAGGTGTACTCCTTTGTGATATGGCAGATTAAAAATAATTAGACAGATCCTAAATGACGAACACTTAATATATTTTCACTCGTCTGCAAAGTACTTAGATAATATTGCTTTGGTAACTAGAAATCAGCACTTGTACTTTATCGTCTGGTACCATCAGTATGTCTGGTGCCCACTTAAAGTTTTATTATTGATTCCTCAAGATAGTATTGCTTAACAATCGTGTATAGGTGCCCACTACTAATCTAAATATTGATGACTGATGTGAAAAAAGGAAGGATACTTTTACGATATTGTTATTATCAAATCAGCTGAACATATCTTTGAACTTTCGAACCATAGACTATGTAAACAATAACATTGAAAACTAGAACTATATGTCTGAGCAGACAGCCTAGAATGGTTCAGTTGAGCACAAATTCAGTGAATTTTTGGCAGGTAACCGCGTTCCTACATACCTAATATATGATATGAAAACAAGTAATCCAAATCATTATGCGATCATATAGTATCATTGATAAGAAATATAAGCCATAATAAGTACCTACCATTATCACGATGAGTGATATTCTATGTTTTTAGCATAATCGGCTGGAATGAAAGACTGCGAAAAATTTAACAGGGATTTTTCTTCAACAGACAAAAAAATAAAGAATAGTTGGAGGATAACATTCCATTATTACCAGGGAATTTGCCGAATGAGACTCAGATGTTGTGTTCTCGATAGAAATTTCATTTTTGATAATTTGCCCATGAAATTTTCACATCACTGTGTACAGTGTGTCCAGTTTTCGATGCTTTTGTGTGATATCTCAGTTATCTTTCGAGATTGAACCTTGCGGTTTTCGCGGTCCTGTACCACTTTTCTGTGAAACTCAAGATGGCCTAATCAGATTTTGCACAACTGTTTGCGTTTATGAGATACAGGGCGATTTTGAAAATTTGTACTTTTTGGACCCCCTCTATATCTACGAAGTTTCGCAGCGGAAACGTCAGATTGGAATCTTATCCCATACAGAATTTTGCGCAGAAATCAGTGGCGCACTCAAATTTTTTTTCCTGGGTATGGTTTCGGAGATACGACTCAAACTTATGATTTTTCAAATGGAACACCCTGTATTTTATAAGCTCATTAAATTCCTTATTTTCTTCCCATCAAAATATGATGAATAGGTATAAAATTTTCAAAAATGCTCCAAAATCACTAAAACATTGAATTTTAATTATGGGCTATGGATTTTTCATTCAAAAAAAGTTCCAATTGAAGGGATATTTCATTTGATTCTTCCATGAAAAGGACAAAAACAATCCCAACACTAGTTAGTTGAGATAACACAAAAATTAGGTACCTGATAACAACAAACGAATGGTAATAAAAAGTTCATATTCTAGAATAAGCACCTGATTTAATATTCACTAAGACAATTGAATAGTAACTTATTCATTGAATTGTTCAAATTGATGTCCACTTTCCCTCACACGTTTTCTCAGTACGTCTTAATGCATTCAAAATCATTAAAGGATGTCTTTGTAATTCCTGGAAAACTGCCTCTGTTGTTGCACGAAGTTCTTCAAGATATTTGTGACTCTTACTGTATCAAGACGTATTGAGAAACTGTGTCAATTGTGTGTTATGGGAAATGGACATCAATTTGAACAATTCAGTGAATAAGTTATTGAATAATTCCGAAATTCAATTGTATTTGTAAATATTTGATCTGGTGCTTATTCTACATTATGAACTTTTTATTACTATTTATTTGTTGCTATCAGGTACATAATTTTTTTGTTTTCTTAGTTAATTAGTGTTGGTATTGTTTTTGTCCTCTTTATGGAAAAATCAAAATGAATATTCCTTCAATTGGAACTTTTTCATAAGAAAAATCCATAGCCCACTATTAAAATTCAATGTTTCAGTGATTTCAGAGCATTTTTGAAAATTTCATATACATACATTATAAATCATTTTGAAGAGAAAAAAATGAGGAATTTTATGAGCTTATAAAATACAGGGTGTTCCATTTAAAAAATCATAAGTTTGAGTCGTATCTCCAAAACCATACCCCGAAAAAAAAATTTGAGTGCGCCACTGGATTCTGCGTGAACTTCTATATGGGATGAGATTTTAATTTGACATTTTTGCTGAGAAACTTCGTAGATATAGAGGGGGTCCAAAAAGTATAAATTTTCAAAATCGCCCTGTATCTCATAAACGGAAACAGTTATGCAAAATCTGATTAGGCCATCTTGAGTATCACAAAAAAGTGGCACACGACCGCGAAACCCGCAAGGTTCTATCTCCAAAGATAACTGAGATATCCCACAAAAGCATCGAAAACTGGACACACTGTACGTTTAATTTTGGGACCCCCTAAAGTATGTAGGTACACATTCCTTCGGGAAATGAGTCTTGCTTATTTCTGATCTGAGTATACCTACACACAGGGTACCATATGAACGCATTATCTTGGGAAATCATAACTCATAGCAATTTATGACTTTCATTATAAATCAAAAAAATCTAAAAATAGTTATTTATACCTGTTAGTACCTATAATCAAGATGAAACTTCTTGATTTAAAATTTTTTGTATTGTAAAATTTTTGGATTGTTTGCCCTTGAGTGTTTCAATGTTTCCTGGGACGTCATAGTTTTGGCGAAAATAATAAAATAAGGTAAACCAAGAAAATGTAATATTTATTTCAACATTGCATAACATAAGCTTGCACAAATTGGATGAACTCGATTTATGAACTAACACAAGTTATCTGCTGAGAAATATTTGAATGAATAAATAGATACCCGTATTTGAAAAGGTTTATTAATGTTGATATACATTGAATTTGAATAGTGTACCTACCCTAGGTACCTAATTCAGATTTGTTAGACAACAAAAAAGATCTTCTAAAATTAACTGCTACTGTAATTAAAATGAAGGAACCTCTGCTCGTCTTTCTTGACTAAAAATTATACAAATTCAAAAAAATTTGACAATTTCGTTCACCAATATATCAAGAGATAGATTTTGACAATCGTATATCATAATGTATCTATCCAAAGTGGAATTTTGAGTAATTCATTTATTGCACAAATCATGTCGAACTTTTCTGGATATTTCTACAATCTGTTGGACTCGAACCACTGCCTGAATGAACCACCTGCAAACCAAAAAAAATATATACGTGAGACTTTTGAATCACTTGTGCAAGTAAGCATACACTGAATAATTATCGTAATTTCAACCAAACCACCTGAACCCAGGCATTTTATATCAGAAGTATATATAGTGCCTTTCAGAAGTTCTCATCTCTATTCTATAATTCTAATCAAAGATTATCGAAGTTCATCCTCAAACTCAAAAGTATAATTGAAACTCTCAAAATATCATATAATATCATAAATAAAAAATTGAAGTCGAATTTTATGTTGATACGGAATTCTGAAATTCATAATCATGAAACAAGACAATATAACTTGTTTCATCTTGACGCCGCTAGCTCCATTATCGGACAAAAAAGATTCACTCATTCAGCCTTAACTGAATTCAATAAACTACCTGACAATATAAAAAATTGCAGAAACATAGGTTCATTCAAAAATGAAGTGAAAAAATTGATTATTTCTGAGCGAACTGGATAAAATTGAACATGCCATTTTTTTTTATTTTTTTTTATTTTTTTTTTTTTTTTTTTACAAATATTATTCTTTGTTTGTCAATTTACAGTTGTTGATATATTTTGTATAATGATATGTTTACCTATAGGTATATAATTATGTACTTCCTTATACCAGAGCCTATTCTGTCTGGAAGTTATTTGTTCAATAAATAAATAAATAAATAAATAAATAAATAATGAAAAACTGGGATGATTTTTGCTCATATTATTAAGAAAATACAATATTTTCAAAACAATGATTTTTATATTGTGAAGGCATTATTGAAAATTTCAAGTGACAATATTGATATAAATTTACATTTTCAACAGAGGAGATACTTTTGAAATACACTATATAACTGAGCGAATAGAATTTCCAAAAAATTCATAAGCTTTGAGAAATATTGTGACACTAAAAACCCTAATTTGTCAGGTTACATTTAAAAGGGTTTTCCATTGGGGTCGGGTAGATTTCAAAATTGAATAAAACAATCATTATTCCAGATTTTTTGGATTTTCTCTCCTCGTTTCTATAAAATAAAAATATGAATATTATTTCAATATACGTGTAGTAAGCACAAATCAGATGATTTGCCCCAAAATGTCACTGCGTTCAAGGAATTTTCCTATCAGAGAGCCTAAAAGAAAACTTCACTAGCTTGTCAGTGACAATTTGCATTGAAAAAAGTTTGGAAAAAAGAAATAAAGGATTATAGAAAAAATATCAAATTTTCACTTATCTTTGGACGTTTCGGGAACGAATTTGCTTCCGTTTTTAACATAAAAAAAGTATTTTTTGTATCGCAAATTCGTATTTGTCCTTTTCACTTTTCAGTTCTCAGTGACAATTGGTGACGTTGGCAATCAGTGACATTTTGGGGCAAATCATCTGATTTGTCCTTACTACACGTATATTGAAATAATATTCATATTCCTTTTTATAGAAACGAGGAGAAAATCCCAAAAAATCTGGAATAATGAATGTACCACCTCCTCGATTAACCTACAGACAGTATTGAATAAAACAAGTTGTGTGTGAGATTTCATTACACAACAGAGTAATCGAAAATTCCACAGATAATGTCATCGATACGTCATACGTCTTTCAAATTTTGATGACATCTCACACACAACTTGATTCATTCAAATTTTAAATTTACCCACCCTTATTTGAAAGCTTTATGTGTCAAAATCAATAAGTTGAGTATATTTTGTGAAATAAATGGTCAGTATAAGTAATGGTGTACAGCTTGACCATTCTAGCTTGGCCCCTAAGATGCGCAAACGATAAACAGAGATGGTTAGTGTGCGACAAAGATCCACTACGCCTTTTCATTGGGAAGTACAATTGTACTCTACTGTTCTAACCGATGTTCACTGAACCAGCGCCTCGACAATGATAAGCTCTCGCTCCACTCCGCCGACTGGTCTACTGCGCATCCAATTCTCAGAGGCCAAGCTAGAATGGTCAAGCTATACGGTGTATTTCTTTCCTCAAAGAGTATTGATATGAAGGTTGGTTACGGTACATTTTCCAATCTAATAATTTTCCTCGAATATAATTAATACTGACAATTTATTTGAAACATTGATTGATATATATTTTTTAAAGTGGTCCAATAAATAGCAGCCGAATCAATGAACCCTGTTATCACAAAAAACGATTGTTTGAAAAAATGTTATTTTAAATATTCATAAATTTGTCACAAATTTTACAAATACCTACTAACTGTGCATATATACTGGTGGGATCCACTTGTTATGACCTTTTTTTTCATTCATCAAATTGTATGTTGTTATCGCAGTTAATAAAAAGCCGAAATTTTGGCGGAAAACAGATCGAGAAAACTTACCGGAAAATCCAATCTAACCTGTGAAAATAGGCCTCGAAGGAAACCATGGACTTTGAAGCCGACCTGAAAGTCAGGTCGACAAAACAGCAAAAAAACTTAACAACCCTTTAATATTACTTTGGTGTCAAATGAATTAATGATTATTTCAACAAGAACTATTGAAAATTTGCTCATAGCAAATAATATCAAAATCTATGGAAATTTTGATTCAGGGTATTTCACAGTCCTATCTAAAGAAATCGTCTCAGTTCTGCTACGATCAACAGAACAATTCAGGAATTCGAATCCAATTTTTTTAAAATCATCTCCAAATATGTTCTCATCATGGGAACTCATAAGTTTGTCATTCTCATCCAACCTTATTTTCCTACTCCACTGAAACACGAAAGACAATCATTTCATTTGAATTATTATTATTTTATGGTTGTGATAGATTACAAAATTTCAAAAGACTGGTTTTTCACAAATCCGATTTTTTCTTACCTTTGAATTTCATTTCATAGTGGGCCATTATAAATACTTCAGTTTGGTTAGGTAAAAGCTAGGCAGTTCCAGATTAATTTGTTATCACTTCAATTTTGATAAGCTACAAAGCTACACATTAGAATATCCTTTTGTTTAGACATTACAACATATAGGTTTAATGCGGTTCTTCTTCATAGGAGTCTCTCATTTCCTATCAGAGTTGAATGAAAAAATATTTATTAATAAAACTGAAATGTGATGCCAAGAATTCGATTTTTGAATCTCCATTCTACTCCATTATATTTTATACTACTTCTATATAATATTGAATAAAACTACAAAATCTCGAAATTACTGTTACAAGTGTCTTCTGTTACCAGTACTTTATATTCATCAAATTAATCTCTTTTTTTTTCTTCAATAATGTTAAGAAAGAGTGTTTGTTCGTACATTTATCTTTCAGGGAGAATAATTTTCATATTCTTCATAATCCATTTCCTCTTCATAATCATAAAGACGGCGGCCAAAACCAATTCTATCGGGTTTCCCCTCAATTTTAACGGCAGGTTCAAAATAGATCGTCATATTGAATAATTAAATGAGAGGGATAGTGAATCTTGTGACTGAACAAATAGAAGAGAAAGTGAACGTCAGGATAATGAAATTGTATATCACTGATCCAAAGGTCATTAAGTTTAACGTACTCGACCAAATGTCGAATGATCAACAAATCTTCGATATTTGCATTGACGGTTCAACTTTGAATTTCTTTCAATAATGTTCTCGGATTTCACCACCCATTACTTGTTATTCAAACCATTTTCGGGTAGGAGTAAGAGCATTGATTACTTTGGATTTTATATATTTATGCTGATTTTATAGTCTTCTGAAATATTCTGGTATAGCGATGGGGTACTTGGTACTCCAGTACAAAGAATAGGTAAGTGGAAAATTAATTAAACATCTTTACTATAATTCAACTACACTCATCATTTACCCCACCTGACAACCGCTTCAAGAACATTTATGATACGTCGCTGGCGCGCTTTCATCTGATCTATTCTTGTCTAGAAGTGTTATCTTTATATGAATAATACAGTAGTGGGTAGAATAGTAATAAGAGGGAGTAGACCAATGATACGTTTCAAATAAATGCTGCTCTTATAAAAGATGTTTTCTCCCTCTCTGCTCACCATTTTACTTTCAAAGTAGCGGCTGGACCATAGAAAACCCCCTACAAATAGAATGACATCTCCCATAGTGACGTCCAGTACAACGCCACCATGCGATTTGGAAGCTGAACTAATTCGATCATTGACAGGCCTGGCGACAATTTCATAATGTAATTGGTTATTGACTTTGTATCATTTCTTGAGAAATACATAGCACAGAATCGATGGAGTTCAAAAATATTTTTTCATGTTATTGAATTACAATGAAGACAGGAGGATTGTATATAATAAAACTTCATCAACATGTTGCTTTGTATTCTTCCTGAAATGACCTCGTTGTGATTTGATAACTATGATTCCAAAGAAAACAAACATGATTCCAGTAAATTTTTTTATTCATAACTATGTTGTCACATTTACCTGGAATCTGCGAAGTCCAATAACAACATATTATTTGCATTTTTCAAAGCAATTTCACTGGTCTTCAAAGTTCACTATGAACCACTACTTGGAGTCCACATGAATTTATCTGTCAAAATCAGTAATGGCGGCACAAAAATACTGACAACTGACTGGAAATCTTGACATTATCTATCAAACTACCATCTATCGGATTGGAAGCTTCACTATATTTCAGTCGGCCATGACAGTTTCGGTACGGAATATATGAGATTTCATTCTATTTGTGGGGCACAGTTCTTCTGCTCTTGCATGGAAAATCGCTTAGGTATTCATTGGCGTACTCATTTTATGCTATCAAGGATGTTTTTTCTTTGTGAGCAAGTGCGCATGAGTCAATAATGTATCACGTGATTCGATGTGACTAATGAGATTTGCGAATTCTTTGTAAACTGTAGGCTCTCGTATATTTTTAATTCATGGTACGTATCAGAGAAGAAAAGGAGAGAAGATAGATAAACTTATTATTCCTGATTTCTATCATTGAATAAATGATTGAAATAGAACATATTTATTCTTTGTACTGGAATACCAAGTACTCGATTTTTGAAAGTATTTGTTATCAGCCAGGTACCATTTGATTATCCCATTTGATTCTCATACTCGATTCTTTGCCAAGCACTACTCTGTTACCTGATGCATTTACGCCCACTGAATAAAGAACTTGATTTAGTCTTTCAGTTTCACATTTTATTATCCTTTAGTATTTAAACAATAATCTTAAAACTGTACATATTTAGATGCTACAATGTACGACCCAACAGTAAACATATTTCAGTCCATGCATCTGCAGCTTGTGAAAAAAATAGTTCTAATGAACCCTAAACAGAAAAAAATTAATTTACCATTGCCTCGCAGTCGTAACATTCTCTTGTAGAAATAAATAATTATGTATAAATTCAACAAGCATTTCTCAACAAATGGGAGCCAATAAAAATATCCAAAAAATATAAAAATATAAAAGTGGCAGACTATATTCATATAATATATATAATAGATATAAAAAAAAATCAACAATAACAGTCAACTATAAAATCTACTATCACTCTGGTGGAGGAGGTGGGGGCAATCTGGGAGGAGCCTCAATGGGCAAGGGGGGACGAGAACTGCTAGGAGGAGGAGGGGGGACGGAAGCAAACGGCTGTTGATAAACGCCGTTACCGTACCCGGGGTAATAGGGGTACGGCACGCCGAAATTCGGCGGTGGCACCCTAACGTCCGGCAAAATGGGGTTGTAGTAGTACAGGGAGTTGCCCATCGGTGGTGGTGGCGGCGGCGGCGGCGGGAAAGTTTGGAACACCGCCGTTCGATTGGGGAAAGGAGGTCTATCTACGGTGGGGCTTACCTTACTGCCGGAGTGTTTGCCGTTCGCTTTCGACTCCCTACTACTCGTTTTGGCCGATTTGTGGGGAGGCGCCTCGGGAGTGACGCTGGGATCGCGCTCGCGCTTCCTGATGCTGCTGCCGTCCAGGTTCGGACAGTTGTTCAACACCTGGATTGAGTAATAGATATAGATATATTTCATTGTTCCATCATATACAATATACACTCTGTCCAAGATAAGGTTGAACAGCATGGGGATCTCGAAAACGGTAGGAGATACGAAGTCGGTTAAATAGGGAAAAAGTTGCACATTTGAAGGCTCATATCAAGAGCCTTCGAAAATTTTCAAAATTATTTTTAGTTTTGAGTTATATCGGAAAAAGTGAATTTTTGAAATATCTATTTTATTTTTTTTTCTCCGTTATTATTAGAGATACAGAAAAACTGAGAATACTTTTTCATAGCAACTTTTGATGAGGTTTAACGTGGTGATACCGATTTTTTTATGCGACGTTTCGTATTCGTAGAACCATCATCAAGTTTTGTTTTTTAAATACGGTCCTGATAATTTTTTCACACATTCTGAAAGGTTTTTCAATTCTGAATTCAACCATGTATTATACAAGGTGGTTTATTCGTGTTTCGACCTATTTTTAGCCATCAATGTTTTTTCGAAATTTCAAAGGAAAAATGCCATCAGTTCCACTTATTTTGAAAGAAAATTAGTCAACACACTAATACTTCATCAACCTGTTCCAATCAACAACCCATTTCATTTTGCGGAAACAAAAATTCCATCCATACAAATTCAGAATATCTCAAGCGCTAAAACCAGGCGATGACGAAAGGCGCAGGACATTCTGTGAGTGGTATACCAGGAAATGTCAACATTTTGCAGATTTCCCTCGAACAATCATCTGGACTGATGAAAGCATGGTCACTAATCATGGTATCTTCGATAGAAAAAATACAATTTATTGTTCACGAGAAAATGAACATTTATACATTACAGCGAGACACATGTGGGTTGCAATATTTGGTACACGAATTATTGGTCCTTTGATTCACCATGAAACACTGACTTCCGAACGTTATAGAAATTTGCTAGAGAATCATCTTGAGGAAGCTCTGGATGATTTACCGATTGCGGAAGTTCAGAACTGTTGGTTTCAACAAGATGGCGCTCCGGTACTTAATTCCAGAGAAGTCCGTGCGTTTTTATCCAAAAAAATGGATTGGTATTCATCCTACAGCCCCTTGGCCGGCGCGGTCGCCTGATTTGACACAGCTGGATTTTTTCTCAGGGGATATATCAAAAACTTTGTGTACGCAAATAACTTTGATGATGAAGAAGAACTAAGGGACAGTGTCATCGAAGCATTCAATAGAATAACCCCAGAAATGCTTAGTAATGTCTTAGAAGCAACTGTGAGAAGAGGATATCTTTGTTCAGAAATTGATGGTTATCATTTTGAACATTTGTTATGAATGTTTCTGTAGGTATTGTCAAAGTTAAGTTGTTAAAGTAATTCGTGTAAGAATTCATCAACAATTTTAAGCGCTGCATTGAATGATGTAGTGAAATATTTTTTATTCACTTCTCAGTATTGAATAACTAATCCATCAATGTTTGACACTAAATGATCAGTAATAAGTGGAACTGATGGCACTTTTCTTTTGGAAGTTCGAAAAAACATTGATGATGGATAGAAATAGGTCGAAACACATTCGAATCACCTTGTATCTTACATGGTTGAATTTAGAATGAAAAAACCTTTCAGAATCTGTGAAAAAATTATCATTATCGTATTTAAAAAACAAAAGTTGATGATGATTCTACAGATACAAAACGTCGCATACCAAAATCGGTTTCACCACGTTAAACGTCATCAAATGTTGCTATGAAAGAGTATTTTCAGTTTTTCTGTATCTCTGATAATAACGGAAAAAAAATAGATATTCCAAAAATTCACTTTTTTCGATATAACTCAAAAACTAGGAATAATTTTAAAAATGTTCGAAGGCTCTTGATATGAACCTCCAAATGCGCAACTTTTTCCCCATTTAAACGACTTCGTATCTCCTACCGTTTCCGAGATCCCCATGCTGTTCAACCTTATCTTGGACAAGGAGGGGAAGTGGTAAAGAGTGGTCACCTATGTCTACTATAGAGAACTAAATGAAATATAGAACAATCTAAGAAAATAAATAAAATATCATTGAGTAATAGTAATTTATACACCAAGGTAGTAAAGAATATCAGTATTACCCAGGGACCAAGATTATAAGCCGAGGGGATAAGGTCCCGTGGTAATAATATTTGTTACTACCAAGGTGTATATTGAATATTTTCACCCCCAGCAATGCATTCCAATCATTTTAGTTCTGGGTGTTTTGTATCCTTAATTCTGAATTCAATTTTGAATATTCGCGGCAAAATCAGCACACTTGAAAACATGCTTCCCTCCGTTTGTTGTTGTTAATGGTCACGTGAGCCAATAGAAAGGACTGCGCCAATTCTTAGAACAATAATTCGTGTAAAAGAATGCTAGAGGTGTCTGCATTTCATGGTGTATGTGAACAGAAGCGATCTATCGTGTGTGGCGATAAACCTTCTAATAAACTTTCCAGTAATTTGGCAATGTGGTGCACTGTCAATCGCACTATTTTCTCATGTGTTTGGACTAATTGTGAGTCTGAAAGAAATATTGGAAGCTGTGAACTGGGCCCAGTCGTAAGATTCATCGACAAGACTCCAATTGGCAATGGTGAGTGAAGCTAATAATTTCATGTTCGCTGATTCGAAGTTTGGGTTCAAATTTGTGTATCAAGGTATCAAATGCGAAACACTGGGGAACTGAAATATGAACCTATTGTGAATATGAACCTATTGTCACTAGAGTCACTAGATGGTTTTAGTTAGATAAGCGTTCGGACACAGAAAAGACAACTGTTAGTGTTACAAACCTTGCATTGTGACAAGAACATCATAGTCGTTCCACGCTTTTTCATTCAAAATTGTTTGAATTTGACAATAAATTTTATGCACGTCAGAATTGAAATAAAATCTCATGAACTATTGAGCAAAAGCAAAAATGAAAATGTCCTGCTAAGTAATGAATTGCGGGAATTCTGAAGAGAATGGCGATTTCATATATGAAAAAAAAAGGGGTCATGATGTGTCATTCATTTCGGTATAGATAATCAATTATATCTAGATCAGTGAATCAAAATAAAATTTTAACTCAAAGGGATCCTGAGTGGACTTACATCGTTTCCAAGAACTGAGTTAATTATTTCTCCCAACTGTGCTCAACTGACTGCTGAAAATCTGTGTTCCAAAATATAAAATCCAAAATATTGTGCTGTAATTCGGAACACGTTTCCATGGTTTTCATCAGTAATCAGCAGCAGTTGATCAGCTGGTGAAATTTGAATATCATTCCTCAATTATTTTAATAACAGGCATTTTCTGATATTAAATATATTATTGACTTATTATATATAAAACAAGACTAAATGTTTAAAAAACAACGGAAATAAATGTTACATTCCTTCCCCCTCTAAAATAATGCCAGTTCACTGAAGCCACACTACCTTCAGAAAGTGAGCGATGTCAGCAGAATGTTGATTCGAAATATTTGGATACACAAGTATCGGTCACTTTCAGTGAATTCTTTCAATTCAGAAAGCATATGTCTATTGGAAAATAAAGATGATTATCATCATAAGAAATATCACAATGTTCTGAATATCCCAGAAATACTGTCACTTCATCGTTGCCGAGCAACACCAGAAAGACAGAATGGGCGAGTGGAGTTATTCAATTACTCCACTGTGTCGTTAGGAACCTAAATCAATTCTTGTTAACACTTCTCACGCTTTTTTTATGTGAATAATGAGTCTATGCATTGTTTGAAATTGTTGAATTTCAGATCTCATTTCAAAGAAACCTTCATGGCCGCCATTTGGCGATACGTCGAATAAATGAATTCCTGTTGTTGAATAAAACATGATAGGAGAAATCCATGATATTAGAGACTTGGCAACATTGTGCTGAAAGTTGAGAACTGACAAGACCACGCCCACAAGTCGTTCGCCGTGTTGTCACGTTCACCTATTCAAATGTCCTCTACTGTGAATGAATATAATTATGATATACACAAATTTATTGCAAGCAATTATCGCCAAATCATAAGAGCCGCTTTACAGTGCTCAATTTTTTATTGCATGCAATTGATTGCTGCATTTTGTATTGCATGCAATTGATTGCTGCATTTTGTATTGCAGGCAATAATAATTGCAGGCTATTTTACACTACGCAAAATGGCCGAATTGCACTGACATTTCGTCATTGCTTTAATGCTGCCAACTTCTATAATAATTGACAGTGAGAACCCTTCTGTCACTTCTGTCATCCTCCTTTCAAGGTATATTGATATTTCCTAGAAATTGAATGATTATTCTCCATAGTAAACAAAAAAACTATAATTCAACTTACTTATCAAATACAGCTAGGATAGGCTTGCATAATTAAAAGGTAATGATACTGATATAATAATTGATAGTGACAGGTACGTTTATTCAAGCTGGTGCTCTCACTGTATCCACTTTTTTGAGGTTAAGTAGAAGGAACAGTAACATTTAATTTTCTATTGATATTGGACATACTGAAAATCCACCATTTTATCTTTAGAATTGCACCAGCAATTCGAATTGCCGCAATAAAAATAGGTCCGGACCCATTTTCTGCAATGCAACGAAAAATTGCGGCAGCTGTCGAAATTGCTGCAATTTTATGGAAAATTGCGAACTGTAAAGCGGCTCTAAGGAAATATTTTGATTCAATTGAATTTGTATTTGCTAATTAGGAATAATACCAATACTCAATTGAGAATTTCTGAATTATTGAATAACTAATATTTAATTCCCGATCGTATTTCAACATTATGGCAACTATGCTATGGTCTATCCCTACTCAAGATACCGTGGCGTAAGTTTTTACTAGCGCCACTGGCGGTAAATTTCTAGCCGTTAAAAAATTACCCTGGCATTATTGATGATTTTAGCACCTGAAAATCGACCGAAAAATATGGAATTGAGAGGAATTTGAGTGATGATTCTATTTCAGAAATGAAAAAATTAGTCCACTTGTCTATTATGACAAGATATTCAGAACAGAGTAGTATTTTGCTAGACTATTTCTCATTCACGAAGCATAAAATGCATTTATCATCAATGAATGATTCATTTTGACAAGTACAGCCATCATTAATTTATGCCAAACTGACAGACTTTGCTTCGCTATCCAAGACAGCTAATATTTTCGCGAGAAGCACACGTTGTCTCTGGCTTGTGATTGATCAGATTATCTGATGAGTGAAATAGTCATTATTATTATTACCTCCTTGGAGATTTTCAGTTTGATGCTCGGTTGCAATTGCTGCGACGACAGCTCCGTTATGTTCTCGGTGTTTATCTTATTTTTGGGTATCTTGATTTTCAAGCCTTGGCTCGGCTTGTCCATGGTGATTTTCAGCTTGATCGGCTCGTTGGGCGTGATAGGAGGATTGTCGGCTGCGGGTTTGTGCTTGTGCTTCTCTCGGTCCTTGTACTTGTTTTTCTTCTTCCTGTCCTTCTCCTCCCGGCTTTTGTCTTTGTCTTTGTGCCGGTGCTTTTCCTTGTTTTTCTTCTTGTTTTTGTGGTGATGGCTGCTGGAATTGCTGTCCGGGAGTTGGGATTGTTCCGGGAGTAGGGCGGGTTGGCTGCTATCCGGCACCATCACGGCGGATAGATGAGGCACTGCTGAGGCTTCTTTTAACAGATTGCTGATTATCGTCGGGTTGGTTTCCATTCCGTTGATGATACTACTCGTTCTACTGACAGTACCTATAATGTGAGAATTGCAGAGCCTAAGGAATTGTGCATTGATGAAATGTTCAAGAGATATTGCATAATAGCAAGATCTCAGAGAATGTACTCATGGTGAAGGCATATTATTCATTACTAGGAAGATAATTTCCAGCATAAGTATATAGTTAGCAATCCATGACATATTTTTTGTGTTTTGTGATGAGTGAATCCTTTTTTTCGATATTGAACTGTCAGGTAGAAGTCATTCAATATTAACTATCATTAGGACCTGAGGTGATGTCAGAAAATTCCAATAACAAAAATAAAGCATCATAGCTTTGGCTTTCTGCGCCAAAGGAAAAAATTCTCCTAAAATTGAAAAAATTCTCCATATCCTCCATAAGTACATACAATGTTTTCCGAACATAATAGGGATTCCATTTCGTGCGCACCAAGAAATAAAAAAGTAATGATAAAAATGAGACTAGTTGGCAAAATTACATTTCAGTATCTATCATTTTTCGAATGACGACCATTTTTTGACAAGCACTATCTAAAATCCAAATCCAAATTGACAACAAATGAATGCCAAAAACGGTCCTGCATAAAATGTATGTTTTTTAGGCGTAACTCGCTTTTATGGATCTAGGCGTGTGCTCAGGCTCCTACTTACACGCTGCGGTTCATAAAAGCCTACTTATCGCCCTTGATACATAAACAACTATAAATGCACGACCTAGCATGAAGTACACTTTATCGTCCGGATTCGCGGGCGTAAAGTAGCACTTTAGCGCTCTAGGGTCATGAAGGAGTACAGCTGGCATTAAAGTAGGTGATTGGTAGGTAAAGAAGTTTCACTGTTTTTCCAGTAATTTCTAGTAGACTACCACTCTTACACTTGAGGAGCTATATAGAACAAAAACAGAAAATTCTTGAAGTTGAGAGAAAATGTGAGGCATTAGAGAAGAGAACCATTGGATTGGAGAGAGGAGTTAGAAAAAACAACGTGGTAATTTTTGGACTCAAGATAGAAGATAATTCGAATTTATTAGAGGACACTTTCAAAATATTGAACGGTCATTTAGAAATCAACATCCAAAAGAACGATATTAACAACTGTTATTTACTGGCTCGAATTTTCGTCCTATCTAAAAAAGATATCATTATTCAGTAATATTATTTCTTTAGGTATAGTGATTTAATTATATAAGGCAACTTAGATTTTTTTGTTTTTTTTTAGCAGGGTTATAATTATTATTTGCAAGAGCTGGGTATATAATTAATTAACGAATGTATTTCCTGGTATCTTAATTCATCTCAATTCATCTACTGTATGTTTTTTTTTGGATTTTTTTCCTAATTATAACAATCATGTATTCTTCTTGGAATAAATAATATTCATATTCACCATTATTGCTTTCGACGAGGCTGCCCGCAAACTCCCCACCCTTCACCTCTCCATTCCCGCTCCCGTCCTTCCGCTCGGGCGACCGGTACTTGTCGATCCCTATCGTGCTGTCCCTCATCAGATTCTCGAAGCCCTCCACCTGGTCGATCTTCTTCATGACCGGCCGCAGCTCCGACTCTGACGTGCTGGACGAGGTGCGCCGCCTGCCGTCGACGGGCGACACTAGCGGCGACAAGATGGCGCCCGCGCTGGCGCCGTGCGTTGCGTCCTGCTCGATCGCGCGCCTCGAGTCTGGCGAGGTTTTGATGGTGAGCTTGTGGGGCGGGGTTTTCTCCGGGGAGAATAGACTGGGCCGTTTTATGACGGCGGGCGTGGGAATTTCTTCTTTGATGTGCTGGAGTGAAATAGTAATTTACGTAACAAGTCTGGAAAAAAACAGTGAAACACGAGAAGAAACAGTAAAACACGAGAAGAAACATATGAGAAAGCTAGATATTATAGTTCATTCCTGACTTTTTCGAGCAACCTGCATGTCCAAATATTATCATGTTGAAGACTTGGCAACAATGTGCTGAATGCTGAGAACTGACAAGGCACCGCCACAATTCGTGCGCCGTGTTTTCCTGTTTACCCTCAAATGTCCTCTAGTGTGAATTTATAAAGTATCATTATTAACACAAATGCATTAAAAACAATAAGCCACACCAGATGAGGGAATATTTTGAGATAATTAATTTTTCATGACTAATTAGGAATATAACCTATACAAAATTGAGAATTTATGAATGATTGAATAACTAATATTTCTGAAGTTCTAATCGTATTACAACATATAAACTGTGGTATGGTCTGTCCTTACTTACGAAATCGTGACGTCAGTTTTTACTCGCGGTTAATTTTTAGCCGTTTGAAAATTACCGTGGCATCATTGTTGATTTTAGCACCTTAAAATCGAACGAAAAATTCTAAAAAAATATGATATTGAAAGGTATTTGAGTGATGATTCTACTAAAGAAATAACAAAAAATTAGTCCACTCGCCTATTCCACAAAATTCTCTTAAGAACGCCCAGAGCAATGGAATAAACAGGGTCGCTGATATGTATGGAAACAGGTGAATATCTCGGTAACCTGTTGTTGGATTTTTTTTTGAATTTATGTACTGTGTGATTTCAAAACGTGGCAGATTTGAAAATGTTATAGCCAATGTTGCCACTTTTTCAGTTATTCTGGATTTTTTATCAACTTCCTTATTTTGAATAGAACACCCTGTAATTTATTGGATTTTCAGATTCTCCCTGAAGAGCTAATTCCATCGATCTATCACACTTGGGGTCTAGCAGGAATGAATACATAGGTATAGGGTGTTTAAAATCTAGATTTTTCAACTTTAGTATTTTTTTGTGTCGAAACTATTCATTATCGATCAAAACCGCTCCAATGTTCCCATCTTTACTTCTGATTTACTATCTACTGACATTTAATTGAAAAAAATACAGGGTGGTTCAAGATTCAGAATTCTGATCACCCTCTGTATCTGTTCCAATTGAATAGTCAGTAGATGGTAAATCAAAAGTGAAGACAGGAACATTGAAGCGGTTTTGATCGATAATGGATAGTTTCTACACAAAAAAATCTTGAAGTTGAAAAACCTAGATGTAATCATTCCAGCTCGACCCCAAGTGTGATAGATCGATGGAATCAGCTCTCCAAGGAGAATCTGGAAATCCAATAAAGTACAGGGTGTTCCATTCAAAATAAGGAAGTTACTAAAAATCCGGAATAACTGAAAAAGTGGCAACAGAGGCTATAACATTTTCAAATCCGCCACGTTTTGAAATCACACTGTACATAAATTCAAAAAAATCTAACAACAGATTGCCGAGATATTCACCTGTTTCCATACATATCAGCGACCCTGTATGTATAGAGACGCCTTCATACTAGAAGAAGGTAGAATTGGCAAAAACACTGATTTCTAGAAAAAAAATCAAGATGCGCAGAAGCAGATGATTTTTCTTTAAATTTTTCAATGATTCTAGATTTCCCAACATAAATTCCCAAAGCAATGGTGCAGTTAGAGCACGGCGGAAAACCGTCAGCGGTACTATAAAGCGCCGACCGTCTATTGGTAATCCAGAAATATTGATAATTATTCATTATTCAGTGAGATACACAGCATTGTCGTCTCAACCGATTCTTTAGCTGGTTCAGATATGTTATTCATCGCTCTCAAGATTCAACTGATTTCAACAATTTTATGGATGAACTGAACGAGACAGTTTAAAACTTATTCTTGTTTTCTAATAAACCAGATTGTGACATAAAATGACATAGATATTACTGATCTCATCAGAATTCGAGGTTCATTAAAGTGGTAAGTATACCAAAATCGTTCAGTTAGATTGTATAAACCTCAGTATACACGTATAATTGAAGAATAGAGCGAATTTTGTCGCTTGTCAGCTATAAATTTGTAGAATTGGCAATGGAGGTAAGACCTAAATTGATGACATTTATAACATCAATGAATATCAAATTTTTACCATTCCAGTTTCTCATAGAAATCTATCTATTCCAACCTAATATGTCATGAGGATTCTGAATCTCTACCCATAGATTTGTCATAGATCATTAAGTAAACAGGTGGGTATTGCTCTTACAGGTAAATTCCAAAAACTGCTTCATTTCTAGGGATCTACTGATGTTCAGCCGAATAATTTTTTTGCAATTTATGAACATGTTTCTATGAAAAAAAAAATTCATATTCCTACCGGTTATGTCAGTCATAAATCGGTATATCGGCTTTGAGACTGATACACCAGATATATCCATATGTATATCATATTTGTTGATCCCTATGAATGATGGAACATTTTTTTTTCTTTTATCGTTGAAAATTCAGTTTCTTTTTCTCGAAAAAACAAAATCGTACCCTATATTTGGTAGTGAAATAATTCACTTTGATTAAAAAAAAGGTATACTTACCAAGCCTGCTTCAAGCTTCACCTTATTGGTATTTACATATGAGGCATAACTGGTGTCTATTGGCTCAGTTTTCATTTCTGTCTTTATCCTATCAGTATTTACAAAGGAGCCATAACCGCTATCACTAGAGTGCACAGATTTTGAACTAACAGGAGTCAAATTCTGCTTAGGGACGGATTTCGACTGATCCAGTTTATGTGAAGAACCAGAGGGAGGCCTCCTAAATGAAAGAATACAAGAGACATAATGTTTAAATGATATCCAAGATCCTAGTACACTGAATTATATCTTTGATAAACCAAGAATTTCTGGTGTTTGTGTAATTTATTCTGAACTAGAATCATTTTAAAGATAAATATGATCGATAACTTGCAATATATCAAAGATTATTGAGATACATGGAACAAACCACTGATGATATTCAGTAGGTGCACCATATTTCATGTTTTCTGTGTAACTTCACTGCAGTTCATTTGCACTTTACGGACTTCACGGAGACTACATCAGAGCTTAATGGGCTTCTTCATCTATACCAAACGAAATTCATTAAACTTTACAGATTATTTCGGGGCCTTACGGATTTCACGTATAGAGGAAAGGTTTGATTGTTTGTTTGTATTGAATAGGCTCTGAAACTACTGAACTGATTTGAAAAATTCTTTCATCATTAGAAGCCGACATTATTCCTGATGAACATATAATACTTTTTACCGCAGGAAAATGCTTCAATCCTATAACGGGCAATATGATATGAGGATTATAATAATTATCCTTCCCTACTTTTCTTTTTCACATAACTTCTAAACTGCTGAACTGATTGGGTTGAAATTTTAAATGGGTATCTCGATGGTTTCCTGGATAATTTGAAAATACAATTTGACGCGGTTGGTGGCGTTGCTGCCAGGTTGAAATTTTTCATATGTAAAACAACAGAAAAATACGAAAGATACTGAGACAATGAAAATAGATTTGAGTGTAGTGTATTGCCACTAGAGTGGCAACACTGCTGGTGGAGGTATCCAGTGGGTGTTGGATAGAAACTCCAAATTTTAATCTGTTGCACTTGAATGCACCACGGATACCTCCACCAGCAGTGTTGCCACTCTAGTGGCAATACACCACAAGTATACATTTAAGTAGCTTATAGGTAAGCACAAAGAATTCAAAAAATTAAGAAAAATATATGTACTGTAGATACGCGCGAAGTCAGAACGCCTGCAACAAATGTCTATTATTTTTAATGGGTACAACAACCATGCCCACTCTGCCGGACATCTAGTAGCACATAAAAACGAACAACCATTCTCACCTGTCATGGCCTGTGGCACTGAGGTGCTTCTTTATACTATCGGCATCGACTCTGCGCACCATCCCGTCCGGCTTGACCACGCCCACCTTGGACGCGTCACTCCTCGGCCTACTATTCGCCTCCGCCCGCTGCTTGTCCGCCCCGTAACCCAACCGCGCATCCGCAAAGTTGTTCACCCCGCCCTCGGGCGGCAAATTGTGCTTGAACGGGTGGTCGCGGCTGGTGGGCGGGTGGCCGGGCGGCCGCTGGTGCTGCTTGAACTTGGGGTCGATGGGCGGGCGGTGGTGCGCGTGGCCGCCCAGCGGGGTTTTCTGATGGTGGGCGGCCAGGCGTTCCTTTTGCCGGTCGCGCTGGTGCTGCTGCTGCTGTGGGCCGGCGGCGGGGTCGTGGGGGCGGGTGGGGCGGTGTTTGTGGGGGTCGTCGGGGCCTGGAAATATCGTTCGAAATTTTCTAGGATAATTGGGCTTTTCAGTCGACTGAAATTAGTCGAAGAAAGTGCCAAACTACGGAATAATTCATACAAAAGGTTTTAGTGTGTTTTCGGGTACTTATATATTGATGTACTCAATAGTTCCCTATGATAGCGTGCACGCATAACATTTGGGAATGCTCTAAAGATGCTAAAAAACGGGTTTTCTTATTTTTCTCAGTAAATATTGATTTCACGACAAATATACAGAATAGAAGATGAGATAATTTTACACAAGAAAGTCTGATAAAAATTTTTTGATGGAGTAATATTTTTCATAATAAACGTCGTTTGAATTCTTGAAAAAATAAAAAAAAATGATGATTTTCATGGAATATAGGGTTTAAATTTAAAAAAAAAAGTGATATCAAATTCTATTTCGGGAATTTTAATGGACTCTACTACAAAGATAATCCTCTGAACAGGGAATGGGTAGGGTCCCTTGATGTAAATTGAATTATTTGTCATGTTAACAGGGTACGGACAAATCCTCGTCTCCTCTCACTCTAAAGTGTTTCTGAGGATAAACACTAGATTCCTGACATTTGTTGTTTTTTAGGTTATATTGAGGACATTGGCGTATCATACGTAATTTCCACATGTAATTTTGTATGGAGTTTCCGGAAGTGGTCCGAATAATTCGACGGCAATAATCTCGAAGCGTTGAGCTGGTGCAGGAGTTTGGAGCAACCCAGCCGAGATTTTATATCGCTGACACTCGATACAGTTTTTGATGTAATCAGCAATATATTTCCTCATACCAACGAAGAAGAATTTTTCAGATATCTTCTGATGAGTTCAATCGACCCCATAGTGTCCAGCAGTACTAGAATCTCCAACCTTAAGCCGGCTGGGTTGCCCCATGTTGGGCGCCAATTGTATAGGGTTCTAACGGGGTGCAATGCCTGGTGTTTAATATAACTTTTAGTAGATTCAATTTTATAGAATAACTGCAAGAGTTAATGAAAAGTTCAACGTATGTTAGACAGATCAATCAATAATTAATTACAACAACATCTATCAAAATTTACGACTTCTCAACATATATCCCTATAGTCCAGGAAGTTAACCAAACCAGCTCTCTCTCATTAATAGTACAGTATTTATCTCGCTACACCCTGCGTATATCTAATATAGAAATTATGAGAAAAACGAAAAATTGTACAAACCCTTGAAGGCGGTGTTTTGTGAAGAATTTTTTGCAAATTTCTGATGAAAAAATCAGTTCATATAACGAAAAATACCACTCACCAATCACAGCCCGGTTAGAAGGTTGATCTTTGGGGTCCTCCTTCTTTCTAGGTTCAGTGTCCTACAATGAAAACGTCAGAACTTGAATCCAACCGGACACCCTGATACTCACAAATGGCGAATTTATTATGGCTACAGTAGGGGTGTGGGAAACATCGGCAATCGCCATTATTTTTTCCTTCAACCTCGAAGGACAAGCCTCGAATATAACCAAAAACTCCTCAGTCAATTGTTGTAAAAGGTCAGCGGTGACAGTCGGGTCGACATAGGAATACCACTCTTTTTTCTCATTGGAAAGTGGTATCTCCCAATTCGACCATTTGCATGCTACCAGGATACAGAAGCAAGCAACGACTGTTGGTCTGTATTGAATGCACATCGTCGTTAAATGTAAACTGAAATAAATAGATACAGTAATTAAACTTCAAATATAACCATGTATTTCTTGTCTCCTCCTTGCCAAAAAGCATGGCTACAGGAACTTCTAATATTCAGGAATTAAATATGTGGTAGGAAAATATTCAACTCACCTATTACTAGCCATAAAATAGGAAGTTTGGGCCAAATCCTTGCTAGCCCTTACTAAATGACAACATCTTACTACATGGGTATGGGGGTGATCAATAGCTACATCAAACCCCAAAGTTTGTAATAAGACATTTTCATTGAACACTAAATCCTGAGATTGACTTATATACCTAAAACAATTCATGAAATTGAGAAAGTGAAAATATAAATTAAATACATACAATATTGAAACAAACATTTTAAGTTTATACAATAACTCCAGTTGAGTTTCATTTAAGTAAAACTCATCAGGCAACATCAAAAAAATGTTCAATGATTTAATTAAGTATCTTCAATCAATATTTGATGCATTTCTACAAATATTTGTCTATCTATAAAACATAAATATTGATCTATTAATAACTTTTTTTGAAGAGTTTTTTACCTATCAGAGTTTATATCAATATTGGAATCTCTGCTATTCCTACACATATTTGATACTTTGATTACATATTCCAATTTTCTGGGCTGCTCCTCGACTTTTGCTGCTAAAAAGAGAGCAGCTGCTGCCATTTGGTGCCACGGAAAGTGTGTGAACGAGTGGAACACGTAAAACCTATGCATATAAACTATAGCTGTGTTAATGCACAGCTGGGATCTATATTGGTTTGTCAAGGAAAATGTAAAAGTTCATGTTTTTCACAATAAATAAACATAGATCAAATCTGAAGAGGGCACACCTACCCTATTTATGTGATAGTCAATTTAGTATTTCATTTTCAAACAGTTTTCAGAATATTCTTATGCTTTATGTTCATTGTGTCAAAATAGGGATGCAGATAAAAACAACAGGAATATAGAGAACACTACAATGAACCAAATTAATGCAAATATTTTGACCAATATGTTATGATTCAAGTAATCATCAATTTGCAATGCCCCTTTTAATTTTCATGATAATGATTAATGTTAGAAGCAATTGTATTATTTTCAATATTATGAGCTGCTAAATAATGAAATTGGCAAAGTACTACAAAAACTTTATGATGAATTATAGAGGACAAAAAATTATGGAACAAAATATAATTAATAAATATGTATTCATTATATTACAAACAAATCTATGTGGACATTTTCATTAAATAAAATGATTTCTCCTAATTCAGACTTCCACTTCTCAATAAAATTACTTATCCGCTCAAAGGAGAAACTGAAATAAGATATTATTTGCTATTATAATATACATGTGATGAGTTTTGGGATGTTCTCCATTCTGGAACAATATATTATATGTCTGGATTTAATATTTCTTGCAAGAAGGTTCAAGTTTAACAGAACCGTGGAATAAATAATTTACAATCTGGATTCTAGTAACTTCAAGTCATGAGATTTTGAAAAAAAAATGTATATTTGAAAAAGAATTTGAAAAAAATAGAAACAATAATTGCATTATGTATCAGGAGGACTCTAACATGCCTATGAACTATCACTATGAAATATTTTTGCGATACATTATCGATTCTACAGTGCATTTATACCAACATTTTTCTCATTATGAAAAATCTCTGAATTAATTGATGGCATTTTGTTAGAACAAGAGCACCGCTCCATTGAAATTAAGAAAAAAACTCAAGGTTTTTAAAAATATTAGGTAATTTAGGGCTTATTTTGGAGGCTCATAATATAACCAACCAAATTCAAAGAGCAATGATCAAGAATTCTTATACTCCTTATTTACTTCAAATATTCATGGCAAACTGAACTAACTCTATTTAAAATAATTTAAATTTTGCTGTTGCAATAGTAACTGTATTTTTAGGGAATGTACTCAAGTAAACTTAATGATCTGAGAATTTTTTCAAGCTGTGATTCCTCTGTGATGGGTTCTAACCCAAATTATTTCATCATTCAAAGATGGTTTTAAATTTATATATTTCAAAATGGCTTTTTTCAGGGATGTAAGACCAGGTTTTTTCATCAGAAAATTCTGTTAACAGTAAAAAGCTTGAGGAATTATTGATTGGGAATACTCTCACAGACCATTTGATGTATCTGTGAAAAGTGTTCACAAAAACAACATAATTTATGATTTATTTTCACCTACTTAAAGAAAGTTAATATTCTTGAGACAATACAAAAGCCTACCCATTTGTAAACATGTATGTCATGCAACATCTATATCACTGATTACTGGAAGAAATAATTCACTTTGAGAGAAGTTACTGATTAACAAAGTTATTTTGTTATTATTCAGATAATATTTGGTTAGTAATTGAATTTTGAAAGTATTTCTCTGTTTCATTTTGATTGATTTGGATTTGAGTTATTTTCTGATGTGAAATATATTTTTTAATGATTAATGTTAATTTTTTTTCAAAGTAGATCTCAATTTTTTCAAAGGGGCACTAACTAGTTATGGAGAAAGGAGAGGGGGCTAGTATATGCAGTTGCACCACTTAATAAAGACATTTGTTGAGACATTCACCTTGGAATGTCTCCTACTGATGAATAAAGAAATAAAAATGAAATCAAACATGAAACATGTGGGTTGATAAATTGTCTAGTTCAGTTTGGTATATAATGTAAAATAATATGAAAAAACAAGGCTTTGGAAAACTGTTTTATTATCTCAAATAGAAAACATTTACATTCCACTTGAATCCTATAACTTCTCAAATCACATCTGAATTCATAATGGAAAATAGTTCAAATGATCCCATCCTGACAATGTCAACAAGAGTATTTTTTAGACACCAGACATTGGCAACATATCAAGGTCAAGCTATGGTAAATAAAAATATTTCAATAATAACAAATGATTATTGACCAAAGTCCACCTAATCATTACTAAGCATTTTTCAATTAATACTCAATGACTTATATGAAAAAACTTGTTGAACAGTGATAGGTATTAGTAAATTATTTATGTGAATTTTTGATTGTACAATTGGATCATTTTTGATAGATTGGGATCAAGTATTCACTAACAATTTATTTAGGAGCTATGGAAGAACAGCAAAGTTTTGTCTAGAAAACTAAATCACCTTAACCATTATTCAAATAGCAAACCTTCTTGCATGAAGAATTTTAGTATCTGGATCATAGGATCACAAGAGTATTTCAAGCATAAGGATACACTTTAAGTCTTTGACCCATATCCTGGATAAAATTTGCAGCTTGTTGTCTGTATGACAGTTCTTTGTGAGAGTCGTAGCCACATTTTCTGGATGGAGTACTTTCTAATTGCTCTTTTGTAAAATACCATTTGTCACTGTTACCTGTGTTAGCCATTTACAACCTGCAGCTTACTAATCAATGCAGTTGGGCACTGAACTGGAATTGAGAATTATGACCCTGAGACACAATATTCATCTGAATATATGTTTATAAGTAACTAAATTTGATATTGATAAGGATGAATAGTCATCCTGTTGGGAATTTAAATCATAGATTCCTCAACTCATAGAAGCAACACCTGCAATAACATAACCAGGTCACTTCAAATGTGAATAGTGTATGAGTCCAAGACAATAGTTGCATTTTATTTATGCGATTCCGCCACCAGAATCACTTTAAAAGTTTGATTAGGAAATATATTTCTAAGGTGTAGACATCATGGATCTCTACTCATTAAGGTTGATTTCAAGATAACAATATATTATTTGCATTTGAACAATAGGTATAGCCAGCCATATTCTCTGATGTCAACATTTCCAATAGTGGTTGAAAGAAAAATAATACGTACATAGTATCGTAAAATTTGTACTTTCTGCTCAACAGTTGACCAACCAAAACAAGCAACATTAATATGAAAACTGGCACACAAGGTTCTAATAGTGATTCATATCATCATTGATAATTTATGAGGGAGATAAATCAGCACCTGCAATGGGCCCTGATCTGCACAATTATCCAACCAAAATAATCACACCACTTATTAATGGCGACTTGAATAAAAATTAATCACAAGCCTACACTTGATAAATAATTATTCACATTTCAGAATTTCAGCATTTCACGTATGTACAGCAACGACAGCAAACATAGAACGCAAGACAGTTGACGAAATGACGACTTTGACGTGGTGACGTTTAGGTATCGTTGGATAGACAGATGTCATCGAATTCTAAAGACTATCTAAGATGGCTACAAGAACCAAAAAATTTTCAATTTTTGTTCATTTCATAAGCAGAGACAAGGCGGATGGCGGTGGATGGCGGTGTCTCAAGAAGTGTTCTATTTATGTCAGTGGTCGGCTTGATGAAAATATAATTCGCCAATCCTAGGAAATAATAATATGGAAAAATACTTGCGTCTGCGGAGTCTGTGTCATAAAATGAAATAGTGGTAGGTACTTCGCGTTCACTTCGCGTGTTACCGGATTGTGCTGATTTTCTTTGAATAGGCCTTTTCATTTAGTTGTGATTTTAACAGACATGCGCTGGATCTCAGATCCAAAATTTGGAGGGGTAAAGCGAAGTCTCATTGGCTATAGGTCCGACACAAAATTTGATTGGCCCATTCGGTTTTTATTGATTTTCTATCGATTGTCATTTGTCAACAGTGTCGACCACCAGAGGCGTTCGTCAACCATCGTTGCCAGACCTACTATTTTAACAGTAGATCTACTGTTTTTGTCTCCGTTCTACCACTCTACTGCTCTACTGTTCAAGGCAATGGCCTGAATGGTCATGTTATAATATGACATAACTACCTAATATGTAACAATGAATAATTATTGTGGCATCACAGTAAGAAGATGTATGATAAAAATATACCGGAATAATCATATTCAGTCAGATTAGTAAAAAATTAGATTTCATTTTCAGTTCGGTTGAGGATAATACAAATTCTATTTCTTATTTTATTATTTTTTGTTATCCTTTGTTCGATTTTTAATAGGTATAGAGATCAACCATAATCATGTTTTCGTTCAATTTATAGGTTTCTATATTTTTTTCATCAATTATAATAGCAAATTGTGATGATTATCAAAATCTACTGTTCAGTTTTGATGATCTACTGATTTTTTTCTCACTCATCTACTGCTCCGGCAAATTTTCATCTGGCAACACTGTCGTCAACGTCAATCGTCATTGAGATTTGAGAAATGGCGTCTTGGTATTTTCGTTTCTAGTTTCTATATTTCATAATTTTCAATTACTATTCCTGGTGTGTATTGATTGTATTGTGATAATTCAATTAGGAATAAACGTGACTTATTCCTTACCGAAGAGTGTGGTGCAAGTTTTTTTGGTGAAAATGGTTTTGACATGTTTTGTTTGTAGCGCGGAGTGGAGTAATAGAAATAATTTCCGTTCATTTCACAGGTGAGTTTGATACTTTCATCCATTCCACTTTTCCATCATCTTAATTATAGATTTCATATATGAATTGATAGACAGTGTCTACCTCTCGAATATTATTGAGTATATTTATAGAGGACAACATCTGGGGGAACAAAGAAAGATCTGGAAGAGTGGTAGTGGTGAGCAAATTATGTATCTGCTTCGTTCAAATCAAAAACTCAAGGAGCTTTTCTGACTAAAGTGCCGTTGACTGGATATTTCTACTGAGAAAATGTTCTATTATTGCATATTCTTATTAACCATTTATTTGTTCACAACCACTCTCAACGCTTTTCCACCTCCTTGTGGTCATTTTATTCTGTTTTGCTATTTCTAGTTATGGAATCATCTTGATTTCCACAATCTATCATTTTAGACATTTCCTAGTTATTGAATCTCTATTTCCACCTTTCACTTCTGACAAATATATACTAATAGTCAGCCAGTCCCCAAGATGGCATTATACTAATAATAATAATCTATTATTTTCTAAGAAACAAAATAATATACATGTTTATATCAGGAAAAACAGAACATAAATAATAATAAGTCTAGGAGTTGACCTCCAAGTTAACTATGACAGTGTATCTCAGTTGATAGGTACATGATATAAAATGTAAATCTTCAAATAGGTGATCAATATCAAAAATAAAATTGATATCAATTCATAATGTCAGCTGGAAATATAAGAAGAAGGCAATTTCTGATTCTGATGGTCATGAGGTTTTCTGTGAATATACTCAATTTGGTGTTTCTGTACCAACAATTATTATTATCTCACTGGTTTGATATTGAAATAACATGTTCAGTAGCATTCAGAAATGTTGATATTCTTATTGCTGAGTTAGACACTGTTTATTTTCAATAAATATCAACAATCCTTTTTGCATTTGTAAGTGAATTAGTCTATCAATATATTGATTGAAAATTCACAAGTCTTTCCTGAAATTGTAGAATTCCTATAAGGACTCTGAAAAGAGAAGAAAATGGGCAGAATTCTTGGAGCTGACTGACAATCATATCAATATGGATATAGAGTATACATGTTTGCACAGCTCATTTTCCAGATTATCACTTCATTATGAAACCTGGTGGAAAATGTTTGCTTGAAATGTATGACAATACCTATTCTGAGAGGTGGACCATCAATGAGGTGAGTAATTAATCTAACAACATTCAATTGTGACTCAATTTGAGAGACATTCAAAGGAATGAATGAATCCATCATCCATTCAATTTTTTTTGCTGATATTCATCATGCAATTTCTTCATTATTCATCCCAAAAAACATCCATTGTACCAAATAGCTTATAATATATATATATACAGTGTGTATCTGATGGATATCAAAACACTTTTTTTTTTATTGGATAGGTATTCAAAATGTCGCTTCCTCTTTTCAAGCACCCTGTATTTCATGCTGATGCAAATCGGTGAGTACAGGTATGTTTCAAGTGATTCTGATTCAGAATTCATCTTTTTTTTAGTGAAGAACTATTATGATAAAAAATATTGCTCACTTATTCTTTTTCTTTTTTTTTCTCATACATTGTATATTTGAATGATGAGAATTGATATCAATATGTTTCAAGTAATTCTCAATAGTGATTTGTCATCCGTTCTACCTCAGTTATTCTACATTTTCTGATCACATTTTGAAGAAATAATGATAATTCGTTTTTTCAAACACCCTGTGTTTTGAGATGATGAAAATCGACACAGGTATGTTCCAAGTGATGCTGATTCAGAATCCATCATTATTTTTTCTGAAAAAAATCCACAGTACTTTTTGAAATATTGGTCCATGAAATTGATCACAGTTGGCCATGATTAGAGTCCAGGAATGAAATCACTCTCTTGTTGAATGGATATTTTGAATACCTATCCAACAAAAAACAGTTTTTCGGAATGGATAAGATAATTTTACAGGGGTAGTAAGTCCTTAAGGTATATGAATGACAAGATGTTGACACTTCATCAGTAGGGTAGTATGCACAAAAGGCCCCTAATAAATAGGTTGGGTTAGGATAACACTTTGTATATTTAATACAAGAATAACATCAATGTCATAGTTTGATAATATTCTGTATATTCTCAGAATATTATTTGACAAAAGATTCTGTGAATATGTTGAATATTATAATATTCTATGATCATTCTAAGGACATTCTATCACAATATTACAAAATGAGTATATTTGAACGTTGTTGTTCTAGAGTATTAATTTTTTTCTATATCATCAGAATATTTTCAAGGAATATTCCATTAATGTTCACAATATACTGAAAATATTATTTCATGAACATTCTGGAATATTATATCTCGGGAGCTTCCAGGAATGTGATTTCATAATATTATTAGAATATTCGCACCAAACAAGCCATGCATATTCGCAACTTTCTGAGAATATTTTATGAATATTCCTTAGAATATTCTACAAGATGACATTTCCGCAGCTTGGAAGAATATTCTGAGAATTTTCATGCCATCTGGGATATGAATATATTTCCATAGATTGTTGAACCATGAACAAAATAACTAATTTGTTATATGGAAATTTTTTTCATCCCAGATTCAATAGGGTTTGTAGAAAAGTTATAGAAGAGTGAGTATATATTCATGGCCATTCAAAATCAAGGAAGAAGAAAAGTATAAATATCTAAATGTGACAATTTTATTTCATCAAAGGAAAATTCTTTGAAAATTCAAAATTATCTACTTTCATGCAAGTGTGAAAAAATAAATTTTGATAATATTGAGTATGGTAAATCATTTGATGGAGAATTTTGAATTTTTATTTATTTGAATTTAATGGCGTTATTTTTAACTGAACAACAAGTTATTGACATTCTTAAAATTGTGTTCCAAATATTCAAACAATAATTTGAAATATATTTTCTCATCCATAGGCTGAAAACAAGTGATTGAAAGAAGATGATAATAAATTACAAAGGAGGATGAAAGAGTTGGAGGCTAAGGGCTAAGAAAGTCTTGAGTAACTTTGTGGAAAGTTTGAAGCAGAACTATAAAAATGTAAGTTTTATACATCTCTTACTTTGTAAAAACTTCACAAACGATAAGATTCACACAAAATTCTCAAACACATGACATGTTTCGCTAACACAGTAGCTTCGTCGCTCAACGCTTCGGGTATATCACTCATTTTGAAAATGCCGGATACTGCATGATGATCTAGTCATGCTATCGCCATCTAGATGACAGCGTCATGCTGTGTATGCCGTGGCCACAAGGCCCTACCTTCTAACGCCACTAGATGGCAATAGCATGGCTAGATCATCATGCAGTATCCGTTGTAACTTGTAACTTCTTTGTTTCTTCCATGAAATTAAATCTGCCAGGATACTGTGAAAAGATGAAGAAAATTCATCCACATCAATGGCTGTTTTAATATATCACATAATAATTCCGTGAAGCATTTGATCTGGAGGACCTGCTACAAACAACAAGCAAGATCTGATCTGGCAGGACATTCATCACCATCCATTATCACCAATAGGTACCATTCATGTGAAGCAAATGTAAAAATGTGAAGATAATCCAAATGCTGTATTTCCAGTAGTTTTATATTTCTTCTCATGTTGTTTTCTGTATCTGTGTATGTATTTGAACTCTATAATATTCAATGGTTACATTTTTTCACATCAAAGCTAGTAGTAAAAAATCCTGTTTGAGAGTAAAATCAGTTAATCTGGAAATTGCCATAAAACTCTTCAGTCAATTGCTTCTGATT